CAAAAGTCCTGTCCAGAATGACCTACGCAAGCCTTGACTCAGGAAAATTAGGTGGTCTGTCAGGTGTCTTTCATTTCTTTTTCTGTGACTGAGAGTTGTCTATTACGGACTACCTAATCACTCTTTAAAAGTTCATTATGATGGATGAGCACATGAACCTATAATCCAAAAGTAATTCAGAATGAAAAGTGATCTCCCTATTAAATACATTTAGCTACTAAAACAGAACCAACAGAAATACCACAAAATGGCCAAACTTCCCTGTATTAGAAGTATATACATGCCAACAAACCTGCAACTTTTTTTTTCTTCCTTTAAATGTATTTTTAAAAAGCCAAGTACTAGCAAACTGTAAGCAGATTCTAGAACTACACTAGTAAGCAATTTACATGTTCTATCCACCCAACATATGGACACACATTTACTCTTACTCCTTAAGAGTTAGAGACTTCCGATCATAAATTAATTGGTTCTACAGGATATCAAGAGCTAAAAATTTTCACTGTTTGGAACAAGCCCCACTTTGGAGAAAGACCCTGGAAAATAAAAAATCTGTCTTCACTAGAACCCGGGAAACATCTTCCTACTCTTGGACTCTCCACTTAGCCTGTTTTCCTAAATCGTGCTAAAAATATCACATTGACAGCACTGAATGCGAAAACAGAATTAGGTAGTTGGATTTGGCTGCATTGAAACAGGAGAATTACCTATCACCAAAGGGGTTTAAATGTATTACAAAAGAGCAGGCAAGTCCCATAGCACTCCTGCGAAACAGGCTTTTATTTTTATTAAAAAAAAAAAAAAAAGTTTTGCAAGACAAATACTGCTTTGGGATTAACAGATGCTACAATCAATTCCATGTGTTTTTAAGAATGAAAACTAGAAGAAAAATCACACTGACTTTTTTAACTTGAAAGGCCCTAGGCCTTTTGAAAAATCACTGAGTTATGGCTTCTAAATAAACTAGAGTCTGTTTAGAAACAGACATTTTGCTTTGATACCAGATGGGGCTTTCTTTGATATATTTTTAGGTTAACTCATATTTACTGGGTTTAGTTCTTTTACAATATGTCATGACTTCATAATTTTACTGTAAATGTCTGTGATAAGGACATAGGATTTTAAACACTGTCCAAGAAAATGAATGAAATGCTGAACTTCTAACCAGGAGGTCTGATACATGATGTATAGCTCCAGATTGATGAATATTAGACACTGAAATCAAGCTACTGTTTTGTGTTCCTTCCCCCCCCCAAACAAAGATACTCTTTGCCCTCTTAGTTCCAAAAGCAGATGAAGCACAAAGTTCATTTCACATACCATTGAAAAAAAAATATGAAAAGATGGATGAAACACTACATTTTGACGTAAAAAAAAAAAAAAAAAGGATTTTTCATGTCAACAGTGCACAGCATCAAGAAATTTTTAGTGCCAACTGGTGTCTGATAAAGCTACTTATCAGTATTTTCCTTCCTCGTATTACAGGATATCAGTCATTTCTAGTACTATCATGGGGATGAGAAAGACTGATTAGATTTTGTAACTCAAGTTACACAAGCAGCCCACTGCAGTTGCAATCTTATGGGAGAGAGGTAAGAAAAGTCAATACCTCAAGACTGCAACTCATTTAAAATTCCTGATGACTCAAAACACCAGTCTGGTATTTTATCTCTTTGCAGTAGAAAGTATTTTTGCCTGTAATATTAACCTCCCAGTGCCGCAACTGGTCCAAAGTAATGGTAGAATCAAATCCTTAAATTGGCATCATAAAAAAACAAAAAACAATCCCAGATTATTTCAGTATTAGCATTATGCAATACCATTCTTTCCTTATCTTGGAAGAACAAAATAGTTGAAATTACTTCCAGTTTGAACTCCACTATGTGTACTTTGGAGGCATTAAGAACACATTAAGAATTCATTTTCCTATTGTCTTCAGAAAGAGAAAATATTTGTTCTATAATTCTGAACAGCAGAGCTCAATGTCACTACAGTGAGAATGAAAAAATTGCTATGTTACACTTACAGTTGACAAAATGACAGAAGTAACACTTTTTTCCTCCAGTTAAAAAAAAAACAAAAACAAAAACACAACAAGAACCAGTGAAGTGTTATATGGACTACATCATTTATCACCCTGTTCCCTCAGGAATCTAGCAAGGATTTGCTAACTTTTTCTTTTTTCTTTTTTTTTTTTTTCCCCAAATTAAGGCAGTATTTTTTGTGTCCTACACTTGTACAAATAAATTAAATATAATTCCCCCCTTTTGAGGAAATCTCCCTGTTTCACATTACCTCAGCATCATCTTAAATTAGAACTATATTTCTAATTTCAAAGTTTAAAAGGCCATGCACGAAGACCAATAGAGTACATAGAAGTCAATGCCCATTGCAAGTCTTGGAGTCTATATATTGCAAAAAATTCAAATACTTCATGTGCCTTTTGGAAGCAGGCATGCAAATACTACTGCTGATTTCTAAAAAGAAAAAAATAAAACAATTCTATTTCTTAACTAAGGCAGCAAAAAAGTAGAAACATTTGTTTTAAAATCAGATTTTTCAGTATGTACAAGGTTCTATAACTCTCCAGCTGTTATTTTCTGAGCAACATCTTTTCTAGTTCCTTAAATCTCAGAGTACACTATCATCTGCCTTCACTTTAGGAATCACCCAGATTTATAACAAAATGCATTCCAGATTAATTTAGTCCTTCCATTGTATTTTGATCTCTGATCTTCTACTGTTAATAAGGCAATTCACTGTGGAAAAAAAAAAAACACCCTCAGTTCATGCCAGAACAAGTTAGTGCCAACTACAGATTTTGAACATGATGTATTCTTGCATATGACAGTTATTGCAGAGTTGAAGTCAACTTTAACACCAGCTGCAACTCTCCTGTATTCTTAAATAATTGTGAAAAATGTGTCTCTTATCTACACAAGGCATTAGCCTCCTCTAACTTATTAATGAAGCAAATTCCACTCCACCCCATACTGTTAACAAGCAGTACAACAAACTTTGCATTTGTTGTTTCTGGCTTAAAACTTTATATGAAGAAAATAAACAAAAAACAGCCACACCACAAAGCTGCTTTTCTCTTATATATATATATATATATACATATATATATATACTATATATATATATATATATAAAAGAGAATTCCAAAAACATTAGACAATTAATAACTTAAGGGAAAAAGTCATCCATGATTGATCTTCATGTGTTCTTATGAAGAAACAGAAGACCTGTTAATTCCCAGAGCTTGGAGCCTTAAGTGCAAAGTTCACCATTTTACTCTTGACTTCATTCTCTCAACTAATTCATGCTAATGAGTGTCCTGTCCTTCTGCTCAACAGATGAATAGTTGTCCTCTTGCCAAAATATTCCACGGGGGATTGTGGTACATGCTACAACACCAGCTTACTCATACATACACATTCATAGTTCCTCTGACTTTTATGTAGCATTCTTATGCACTGCCTCAAACTACATCCATTTGAACATGAATATAGACACAAAAATCTTTAGAGACCACACTAAGTATTACAGGATTGCTGTATGGTCAGCAGTAGGAATCATACATATGATTTAATAGCTACAGTTTCTTCTTTCTATATAGGTGGACATTGTGTAACCTGATTCAACACAAACGTGTGGTTGTGCATACAGACAACTTCCTAATTCCAAAGGATGAAAATTTTAATGGAAGACTCTTAAAGAGCTATGAGGTTTACAGAACACACATTATGCCAGAAACATCATCCTAATGGCCGAGGTATGCCATTTGTACACAGAGAAGCTGTGGAAAAGAATCTAAAGTGCACAGAAAGCAGGCAACATTGCATCTACCAAGTGGTCAAGACACAGAAGTTAGTTAATTGCAATAGTATCGCATCAACAGGAATAACATTACCATACTGCCATGTGCTGGTGCGGCCTCACCTCGAGCACTGTGTGCAGTTTTGGGTGCCACAGCGTAAGAAGGACTTAAAACTATTAGGGAGCCTCCAAAGGAAGGCTACAAATATGGTGAAGGGTCTAGAGGGCAAGACATATGGGGAGTGGGTGAGGTCTCTGTTTTTTTTCAGCCCAGAGCAGGCTGAGGGGAGGCCTCATGGCGGCCTGCAGCTCCCTCACGAGGGGAGGCCTCATGGCGGCCTGCAGCTCCCTCACGAGGGGAGCGGAGGGGCAGGCGCTGAGCTCTGCTCTCTGGGGACAGCAAGGAGGGGGACCCGAGGGGACAGCATGGAGCTGGGACAGGGCAGGGTCAGGCTGGATGTTAGGAAAAGGTTCTGCACCCAGAGGGTGGTCAGGCACTGGGACAGGCTCCCCAGAAACAGGCCTACTGGAGTTCAAGAAGTGTTTAAACAATACTCTGAGAAATGTCGTTTGATTTTTAGGTATTCCTATGTGGAGCCAGGAGCTGGACTCTATGAGCTTTGTAGGTCCCTTCCAACTCAAGATATTCTATGATTTTGTTTTTACATGAAGACAAACTATGTAGAGCTTAGGGATATTGTTTAGTGGAGGACCGTTAGTGTTAGGTCAGAGGTTGGACTCGATGATCTTGAGGTCTCTTCCAACCTAGAAATTCTGTGATTCTGTGAAACAAGAAACCCACTAAACTATAGACAACTATGGAAGGATGAATCCTCTGTTGCAAAAATGTAACTCTTCATTCTAACAGTACTGTAAATTCCACCTTATATTTATCTTCATGGAGTAAAATTCCTCTCAATATCTCCCTTGGAACAAACTTCTATGCTAGTTTCAGGACAATTCCACCTTCATTTCAGCAAACAAAATCCCCACCCAGCTTCATACAAAGCTGTAACAAATGTACAACCCCCCTACTCTGTCCAGATGCAGTTTTGCAGTGCAGCTTCTCCAGCCACCTTCACGTTTATGGTAGCACAGGTAAACTTTAAATCAAGACCACAGCAAAAACAGATGCCATACTTACAAAAATCAATTCAAATAATAATAATAAAAAGTACCTCTCAAAAACAGGGCCAAAGTAAACAAAGCTTGCCTTACTTCATGTTTCCTGACCCACAGCCCTCTCTTCCTGGGATCAAAGCCATCCTCTTAGCCCCAGTCCCTTCTCTTCTCTGGCAGTGGGCCCTGATAGCTTGATAGATCCCAGCTGCTTTGATCTCCTCTCCTTGTAACTCCTTCCTCTCCAGCAGGCGGGCACTCACACAGCTGGCAAACCTGGTAGCAGTACTCTTGCAATCATCAGAGGAGAAATACATATCAGAGCAAAAGAATGCAAGAAAACTCTGAAAACATTTCTGCTTAATAGGGCCTCTCTAAACCCTGACATCTTTGGGCAGTGTTTTACGTAAATCTGGATAGAGAGAACACGTTGGCTTCATCTAGCAGTCAGAAGTTTCTAGAGCAGCTATTTTCACTTCTTTTTCCCCAGCTCCTGCCCTCCTTCTCCCCCTCCCCAGCACTATTATTAATAACAGACATGATTTGACTATCCCACCCCTTACTTCACTGTCCCTCCTCTAGCAATGAGATGAGAGACAGTGGTAAAAGGCAGAAGGAGGAGTTTCTTGTTTCTGGTTTCCTGTGCTTGATGGTTTGAAATTCAGGGCAACATAAGCAAAAAAAATACAATAAAATAAAATAAAATAAAATAAAATAAACTGTAATTAAGAATTGCTGCGGTACATGTCAGACAGAGCATGATACAAGTTATCTTCTAGCTGGTTTGGATACACCAGTGGATCGTTTTTCTCAGTATGAATAAGTCTATACAACAGTCAACATTTCCTGTTTCATTGCAGACCTATGTGCTTTACAGTCCTACTGACTATACTGGGGTTACACAGAGTTTAAAGACAGCAATTTGGGCACAAGCATGGTATTAATTACAACAGCTTTTGGCAGCTCTAGTGTTGCTGCTGCCTGACAAGAACTATTTGAGCAAGCTTCATTATTACATAAATCACTGAATAGGTGTTTGATGCTGCAATATCTATGTGGAAATATGTTAGCTTTTACTCTGTCCAATTTTTCTTCCGTGCCATTTTTTCCTTTGAAATTTGGAAGAATAGAAACTATATTTCACAAATCCCTTTCCAAGCTGAAAGATCCAAGTGCTCCTGTTTTTATATTTTATTTTATTATTATTTTTTTTTTAACATGAGATTTAATTTTCGACTGAAAACCTGGATTTAAAGTGATAAATATACTGAATTCCTGGTAAACCATACACTGTAGTGGAATTATTATTATAAAAGATGTGTCTTATTACTTCTTAGACCCAGAATTCATGTAATGGGAACCAGAGGGAACTCAGTGAGATTTTGAAATGCTTGGGATGCATGCAATGCCCATCAGTATCAAATACTTCCCATAGTCTGCTGTGAGGCTGGTATTATACTAGTGACCTCCTGTGACCATTCAGGGTAATGGAAGAATTAGACCTACCTGGGAACAGAAGGTACAATATTTCTCCAAGGTTCCTTCAGTTAATTTAAGAGATCTTGGAATGCCATGGGGAAAGTTTCCTTCTAGAAGCCTGCTTAGAAATATAGGGAAAAAATAAAAGTGCAGTTGGTGAAAATTGAACTCACTTTGCACTTCAACACTGTCATCAAGGATGGCATAAGAAACAGTGAATTCTAGTAATGTTGGTATTACCAGCATCTGTACATACACAAAAGATCATCAATAACATTAACTGTACTCTTGGGATAGGACTAGAGACAACATACGCTTCCATTTATACCAAGCGTTCATTTCTGGAGGCAGCCCCAGATTTAGCATAATTCTAATTTTAACTCAATATATGAACATTTGTGCTAATGAATAAGGAATCTGGTAGACCAACTCTTCTCTCTAGCATAGTATAATGTAGATATGGATAATTCCATACTTTGCACCACAACAGGCTTAAAAGTTCAACTTTTTACTACAAAAGTATGAATTTAATTATCTTTGGATTCTACTAATTCTCATTTGTAGTTTGTTTCTTCACTATTGTCATGTCCTGATTATGTATTAGCTGTTATTATAGAAGACAGATTAAAAAGTACACTTATTTTCTTTTGTTCTCAGTAGGCAGTTTCATAAGACTGTTTAAGTCCTCTGAAATGAAAATGCCTAATTTCACCCTCATGCAGAACAAATGGATTTTTTTTCTTTTATTTTATTTTTCAACAGGGATTACAAAAACATTATCTGACACTCTTGGCCTACATGCTGAGGGTCAAGGAATTTTCAGAGTAGTCATATTTGTTGGGGCAGGCCTTATAATATGGCATTTTGAGCTTCTTCTTATGTAGCTTACTGCAGTAAGCATCGGTGCCATCTGAAAAGTGGTGCCTTGAACAACAAGGTTTCATATGAAAGTAAGATAATCTGCATAACAACAAATGACTTCCTGAGGTAGGAATTCCCAGGAAAATAAATCATCTGTCATTGCAGAATATAAATAAGAACGAGGAAAGCGTAAAAAGAAAGACAGCCAAGCTACTATGCACAAAATAAGCTAAAATGACCTTCCCACTTTGCCAGTATTCAGCTCCGTGATTTAGAGGCCATGTAGCTCTTCCATAGCTGACCTTAAGCTACAACTGCTGTAGGAGCCTGACTGTCCTCCAGCTTGAGGGTCTTGCACACTTGGGTGTTTTCATTATACAGCCACCCTACAGAATTCAGAACTGCAATTTGAGAGGAAGAAAATGTACAGGAAGAAAAGGTCTGAGGTATACAGAATCCCCTCCTCCTCCACTGCCTCTTTTTTTTTTTTTTTTTTTTTTTTTTTTTATTTGTACATGTCCCTGTAGCTACCCTGTGTCTCATTTACTTCATTGTGCTAGACCAGCTGGTTTTCTTCCTTGGTGACAACGGGGAGTTTTAATGAGAACTGCCTGTTGTTTTGTTTTATTTTTTTTACTGTTTTGTGGATTTCCCATTTTCTAAGAGCCTTGTTCTGCACATGAGAAGAGGGAGTTACATAAAACTAAGCATGGGAAATATTAAATGTATTAAATCCTATTCTTTTCAGGGTTCTTCCTCTCACTAAGGATTCACAGATGAGAGGACTCTCAAGGGTGACATTTAACATTAAGCATTTCTGTGCAAATTGCTCGGTTACCTAGTCCTGCTCTCAGATTTGTTTCTGTGTTTCCTCCTCACTGAATTACATAAAACAGCAAACAGCTCATAAGTATATAATGTATTTCAGCAAGGAGTGATACTGGCTGCTGCTGAGTCTCGGTGAAAAAACATTGAATTGGTTGTTGTAGTGTTTGCCTGTTTGTTTTTTAAAGGAAAAATCAGTTTTGTGTTTTAGTAATGTAAGTAATGAAAGTTTTTAATCATTTCAGTAATGAAATACATGCAATTGACTTGGTTTTGTTTTCAAAACAGTTCTGTGGATTGTACATGAGTATGAAATAACGTTACAGCAGTTCACATTTTTATAATCTCATTACAGATGCAGTTTTCATAAACAATTACAAATGAAATCATGTTACCACTCTGGGAATCAGTTTATATTTTCCATAAAACCACAATGACAACAGTGAACACAGAACCTTTAGTCTGCAACAACAGGGATGGACCCCAGCTAAGAGCCTAAACCAAGAGAAGTTGGTAACTAATCTGGTGTATAAACAAGTATGACTGATATATGTGGGCTAACCTCTATATTATTATCAAATTAATGGATGTAATTTTTTTAACAATGAAAGAATAATAGATCCTTCACAGATTATGGGGATGCTATTATAGTAACTTCTTTTATATAAGACAATGCAAAGCCTGTCCAAATATCAAATTACTGGAAAAGTGCACTGGGGCAAACCCTAGAGATGAAGTAATAGTGTAAGCTAGCCAAGGTTTCCCTTTCCTAGCCTGTTTTAAGTGATGTTTTTGTCACAGATGTAACTAATGACACACGCTGTTGGAGTGAATGTGGAAAAAACTTCGCAAAAGAAATGTTATACTTTTATTTTCCTTGCCAGGCATAAATTGGTTCCATATACTGTTACCACGAACCCTGTGAATGCTGTGTTCTGTGCAGAAACATATTTTGCTGGTGTAGATAAACTGTGTTCTCAATTTTATTGCTTCTACTCAATATTAAAACTACTTTTTCTTGCTTGAACTTTTTATTAGAGGCACAGATTTTATATGACTAATATGAAGGCTTAGCTTGTACCAGTATAAAAGCTTGAGAAAATCACTTCAGCTCCCTTGTTCTTTTGGTCTACCCAGTTTTGTTTTAGTTCAAAAGAGAAATGTGAGCTCTATGAACTGACTGCTACATTTCAAGAATGTATCTCTAAGACACCAGTCATTTGAGGGTGTGGTGTATCCCTTCATTTGGAAGAAGGAATATGATATAATAAGGAATATTGAACATAGAGAAAGAAAAATGCAACTGAACAACCATAGTTTCTCCCCTCTTGGCAAATCTCTTAAGCACATGCTTATATTGTTCAAGCAGTGTTCAGTATACATGCATGCAAGTGCTCTGTTTTAAGAAAAAGAGCTTAGTGAAATCAGGGTCACAAACTTGTTTTTTTTTTTTTTTTTTTTTTTTTTTTTTAAGGAAAACAAAAAAAAAAGAAACTTTTTCACTTATGACACCAAATGGAGCCAAGATGCCTCCTTGTTTTCCCTGTGTGCTCAGAGGGTACTGCAAAACTTTGCTTCTCCCTTTTTCTTTGCCTCCAGGTCCCCTATAATTGATTCTGACCAAGTGTTAGCAGTTACGTCCAACTCCCAGAAATTTTTCCTGAACTACAGTTATTCCTGGTGATTCATATGTCTGAGAATCTTACTGAAAAATAAACTATTGGAACTTTTAAAATAATTAACTTGGCTCTTCTAAAGCACAGCATCTTTTGAAGAGATTGAAACGAGGGGAGAAATGTAAGAGCCGTGGTGGGCTGGTCTGTGTGCTTGTGGAGTCCTGGCATTCGGAAGGCATTCGTTTTTATCTGCTTACACTGGGGCCAGATGCAGAAAGCCAAGGGCAACTTACCTCCCAAATGCAATGACTAACGATGTGTAAACTTATCAAAGAGATCTCCTCTTTTCCAATAAAACTGAATCCAACATCATTTTTACTTCAGGACAGTGAAGGGGAAAGTGAAAAAAAAAACAACAACGTGGATACACAGAAGGCTTGCACTCTTATCTAAACTGGCTGGTACCTTTCCAATACCTCTTTTTATGCAACTTTCCTTTGCCCTCTCTCATGTGAATACAGGTATTCAGTCTTGTGTGTGTAGGGAGAGATGTAGGCTTTAAGATGAGTTATAGTCGATAAAGATTGAAAACACAAAAGACCTGCTGCTAGGCTTGCTGCTGACCTGCTTCAGAATGTTAGCAAGATGATAAATCTGTTTCTAGTTTCTTGTATTCACCTGGAAAATTAAGGAGTAAGACATAATTAGTTTGTAAAGTACTCTCAAAAAATTAATTATTTCCCCATTAAGTCCCTGTGTGACTTGTTTGACTCTGTAGCCCACCAGTACTCCCATGCATCCTCCTAGCTAAAGCATTTACTTGTTAACATTTCTGGAAGACTTATCTTGTTGCTTTCTCTGAGGTTTGGTATTCTCCATGATATATTGTGTACTGGATAATAAATGTTGAAAATAAAGGTGGGAAGTCTTAGCTAGAACGTACATTATTCCTTCAGATGCAAAGTTCTACTGATTGGAATACTCAGAGGAGAAAAAAAGGAACCTGCACTTTAGTCATGAACACAACAAATTAATTGAGGAGAAAAGAAACGTGGATTGCAAGATGTGAAGGGGAAATGCTGCTAGCATGAAGGTTTCACCTCCCTGCAAGCTGGTTTACATTCCTAAGGGAAAGCGCTGACACCTAATTCAGAGATTGTTAATTTGAGTTGCTAGCTCTCAAATTTCAGAAGGAGTCAGGTTTGGTAACAACAGATAAAACAGAGTTGCAGTGAGTTCTTCACTGAGAATAACTCCTTTTCTTATCTCTTAGTACAAATGTTGTTCTCTTTCACAACCTTAGCAGAGCTGAATGTGCAAATTTGCTGTATATAGAAGCTGGTGCAGCAGCCAAGTGCTTTCTTAATAGCAATCTTCAGCTCCTACTCCTCCTGTGGTACTCAACACTGAGGGGAACAGCTTCCCTGGTTGCTACTGTCACTGAAATTGCATCTCCTTCCCTAGATTGCATTATCTGGCCTAGTTCTGATTCTCCAGGAGCTTGAGCAAATCTGTTCTCAGATCTCATTCACTGCGGTATTTACAGAAATATGTATTGGTTGAATGCAAACAAAATATGGATTCACAAGTTTTGTCTTTTATTAGTCACTTGGAGAATATCTGTGTGCATGTGTGCTTTCAGACAGACAAATCCATGCAAAACAGGCTAACATTCACATTTCTGCTTCCTTTGTCTCAATACTCCTGAGCCTTCTTTTGGCTGTGGTTGGGCGTGTGAACTCTCTGCACATGCCCTGAACTCAGTCACTTCTCCTCTCATCTTTCTGAACATGGGAGTCAGTTTTCTTCTGCCCTGCTGACCACCAGGCTCTCTCCCTTGGGGTCATTATGTCCTAACAATTAGACGTGATGTCTTCACTTCTCCACGAGGGAAATTCTATTGCTCCAAGTCCTTGCCCTGGGGAGAATGAAACTTCATTTCTTCTTCTTGTCTGAGACACAGCTCCTTCACAGTTAGGGACCGACTCACTCAGGGATGTGCCTGCAGCTCCCGTGCTCCTCCGCCCAAAGGGCATGCGAACACAGAGGCAGCAGGCATGTTTGCTTGTGTTCAGGGAATCTTCCATGTTGTTTCTGTTTTGTTTCCATCTTAACGGAAAAGTGAATTACAAACAGTAATAACTAAACTAAATCCTCTTCTCTCGCCAATGCAGTGAGTCACCAAGACTTTCCATAAAAATAAGATGAATAAGCATATTCTTTAGCCTTTTATAGTTGACTGTGCTCGCTTCTTGCAAAATGGGAGTTTTGACACCACTTCCAGACCTACAGTCTTCTGCACCTAGTAAACCACAGGGGTTATTACTGTGAAGCTTTTTGCCTGTGGATGATAAAGAAGTTATGCACTTTTCAACCAAAACTGAATATTGTACATCTTGGCCTTATGAGTCAACACAGCTTTTTAACTAAGCTGCTCTGTAAGCAAGATAGCATCTGCAAGATGAAAATGAGAAACAGCTGTATCACAGAGCTTTGCAAAATAAAACTTGTTTACACATTGTATGGATACACACTTGGTGATCCAGAGACATTTCCAAAATTACACCAACCTCTTAAAAAGGCTACCAGCTCTTTCATTAATTCCTATGTTGGTTTAAAGCAAAATGTGGTGCATGGCTCGATTGATTTGTCAATGGGATAGACACAGCATGCAGTGAAAGCCTGCATTACTGTAGAAATCCAGAAGTCCTCTCTCTGGCAAGACTTTACAGGGATTTCAATGTACTATCTCATATCACTGGAAAAAATGACAAGTGGAAATGTTAAGTTTCCTTAAAGGAGGTTTTCTCAGAGTAACTGTAGAACTTAATGCATCTCTGCTTCTTATAATATAGCTGTTTCCCAAAAACTGTGAGATGCTTGTGCTTAGTAATGCAGTTCAAGCACTTCAGATGAATGCAGTCTGTATTCTGAACTATCTGAACAAAGGAAGGGAATCCATCAGTTTAAGGACTTAAATCATATATAACAAGTTTCTAAACTTCACATCAACACTCTGGAAATTAACAAGGAATCAGTGAAATTATGGTCCAAGCAAAAAGTATACTCTTCTCTACCAAGAGCAATGAGCAAAGAACTCTTTGTATGTGGTACAACTTTTGCATTTCAATGTTGAGACACTGTTTACTTTCAGTTTCAGACAGTGTATGAAGTTGTTAATGGAGGCATGATCATAGCTGCTGTTGTTTCTGGATGCTCACTCACTATTACCTCCCCACACGCTTGCTAGTTTGGTCCTATTTATTATTATGCATTGCCTGGAGTCTTTGATCCAACTTTCTGTCCTTGTGTTTTTTGTAATCCAGACAATTTAGACAGGAGTAGAATGTAAAAGATATAATATCAAATAGTTTGCAAAATAATTAAGTCTGCTATGTAAACCATAGAACTACCGTACGCCTATAAGAAGCGTACAGAAATTCATTTTGAGCTATCATGCTTAGCACAGAAGTAAGTGGGCATGTAATTAGCTCATTTGTTTCATGTTTCTTCATCTAGTAATTCTGTAACCTTTCTTCTTAGAAAGCAATCCATTTATTTCAGCACAATTTAATTTAAACCTAATGTATGATTTACTGCACTGGTGATTCTGTGAAGACAGAAATTCCTCCCCCCTGGCACCTCAGCCACCCTATTACCTGCCCCATTTCAGCAGGTGGGAAGCAGCCACCTGACATACTGCTCTCAAGGTCAGACTGAGCAAAACCCTACAATGTCTAACTCTTTGCTGGTGAGAGGACTCATTAGTTGATTGAAAAGAATCACTGTGCTTCAGTCTGGAAATGTCTGTTTAAACAGAAACAAATGGGAGTCTTCCATGAACTTCACTGGGTTTCAGCTTAGATCCTGCAATGACACCAAAATATAATTTAATTTGTGAGCTGTCATCCATGCAGGCTGGTGCAGCAATGCTCATGGACATGAGGGCAACACAGACCTGGCTTGTTTAAGGTTTGGCTTCTTTTGCCAGTAGGATGTTATAAAGGTTTGATTGTACCTTCAAGCCTTGTGTCCATGTATAAAAGCAGCAGGAAACACAGTCTATTTTGCTGGTCCTTCTGAGTGATGACTACGGGCACAGCAGTGAAGAGAGGAGGCCATGAGGTCCATATACCTGCATAAAGGAAGCTGACATTTTACAAGTTGGGACTAGGTCCCTATGTGTCAGTAACAGATGTGGCCAGATTTATGACAGAGGGTGTGCTAAAATTACAAGAGGGTTGAATAAATTACTCCGTTGTTCCAATAACTGAGAAACAGCAAAATAATTGTGTTCAAGTCACATTTTTCTCCTGGTGTTTCTCATGACATGATATAAATTATAAACTCTCCATTATGAAGTTGGTGGGTTTATCATCACCTCCATTGAAGCTCAAAATTACAAGCTAAGCCCATGCATAGTAACCTTTTCTACCTGAGAGGCATGCACTTAACTGTTTTTTCCTCTTCCATAAACCAGATGCTCCTTTTTATGCCAGGAAATTTATTTCTACACCAGAACAGCTCTGATTCCTCTCTGCATCTGCTGAATTTTAGAATAGTCTAATAAAGAGTTTTAGTGATACAGCAGAGTTGATCAGTGAATTCTCAATAAAAGAGAAAAATGAATAAAACCCTTTCCTTTTCCTAAAAGTATCATAGGTAATTGACAATATTTAGTATTTGGCGTAAAGGTTTTATTTTCTAATGACTGGGATTAATCAATATTTTTTATTAAGATAACTCAATCTAGAATACCACATACAGATATTATCCTTATCAAACAGCAATCATAGAATCATAGAATCACAGAATGGTTTGTGTAGGAAGGGACCTTAAAGACCATCTAGCTCCAGCCCTGCTGCTATGGGCAGGGACAGCTTCCACTAGGTCAGGATGCCCAAAGTGTTATTCAGCCTGGCCTTGAACACCTCCAGGGATGGGGCATCTACAGCTTTTCTTGACAATCTGTTCCAGTGCCTCACTACACTTACAGTGAAGAATTTCCTCCTATTTGCAGTTACATTTAGGCTAATTTTATTCCTTTGAATATGAAAGTTTTCTTTGGAATTGAGTAAATTAGATTGCAAATTGATGAAATTTCTATAATTGACTTCATATATATGTGTCATACAGATTAAAGCAAAAATATTGATTTGATGAGATGATAAAAGAGATAGCAATCACATGAAGAACAGTGATGTAAATAGAATACAAAATAAAAACTCTTTAGAGAAACTTGCATTGGACATTTTATTTTCCTGCCTTGTTTCTCTAAATTTAAATTCCAAACTGTAGGATACCTCCTACCCTCCAAACTAGCCTGCACAAAATGTAGCTTCAGTTCCTATTTTCATGCTTTCTTTTCACTGAGAACCCACATATGGACTCAGTTGTTTCTCCAAAATTAATTTACAACTACTCATTCAGGAAACTTAACACTAGAAATAGCTTTCTGTAGCCCTCTTCTTCCTTACTTTAGTGTTGTATGTCATTGCTAGCTGTAGGCAACAGAATGACCAAATTTATGAATAATTTCATAGGAAGAAAGTGTAATAGGTAATTCTTTCACGTGCCTAATAGGCACAGTCATGCTTCTCTCCACTCTCCTTCTCTACCTGACTATGCGCCATTGAAAACCTAATCCAGAGCTGTTGGATCCCCAACTCAATTTAACAGAAGAGACACAACATATCCATGCAAATGATGCACAAAAATTGTTGTAGTTTCCCATGTTGTATTTCAGGGATGCATCAGCTTTTGTGCAGCATTAAATAAAATGTGTTAGCATTATGTTTTAAAAAAGTCCTCATGGCTGAATGATTTTAAGGTTCCTTCTAGTTAGCTGAAGTTTTTGTCAATGCTAAATATGTCATAAATCACGTTTTGCCTCATTTTAGGTGAGGCAGAAAGTATTTACTTCAACAGGTGAAACCAAAAGTTTCAAGGACATACCAATGAACTGTTTCTGATTTATAAAAAGGAAGAAGGGCTTTATGAAAATTAACTTTGAGATGTACTTGATAATTTGTAAAATCTACTAGTTTTAACATTATGTCAGCAATTTTTGACAGAACTGCTCTTGGAGGGCTGTCATGACATTTTTTTGACATATTAACTCAGCATTTTGTCATGTATTCTGAATAAAGAATATTTTCATTTGGCTTTACTGACAAGCTGAGCAAGAATGATAATGAAAAATTGAATTTTCCTTTTTTTTTTTTTTTTTTTAGTTGAAATTGAAAATGATATGTAAACTAAAACTTTCAATAGATACTCTTTGAAATGCTAATAGTTTTATCTTTGTGTTCTCAAAAGCTGAAAAGCTGACAGTTTAGTTAAACATCATACGCAGACTAACTCCAAATATAATAAATTTTGAATTTAGGACAGGATAGCTAAACGGCTCTTAAAACAATGATTTTATATCAATGTCTTAAATATGAAAAAGCAAATAAAATCTGATTGGCTTACTGTAGGCCAATGTTATATATGCTCAAGTGACATTTCAAAAAACCTCTCGGGACCTGTAGTTTTTAAATTGGTACTTTAAATACTACTAAACATCAAACATGACTTAATTAAATTTTTGTTTATTTTTTTAAAACACCTGAGTGCTTTAAGCTGCACCTTTTTGGTTACGCCAACATGAAATAATGAAAACTAGCTTCTATTGAAATGTAATGTTAATACGCACAGAAGTTTTTAATGCCTGTATTGACATTAGGCTTCCCTGATCATTTTGTTGAACAAATCATAAAGCAAGTCTTGCTGCTAAAATTGCTGTGCTTGATTTGATTTTCTTGAAGTCCAGACTTAGGCAATAAACCAAGAAGAAATTAAAAGCAAAAGAGAACTTTAAATGCTAAATGATCCCTGAACTTACAATTAAGAAGACGGTTACTCTACAGAAATAGAAAATTAACTGAGCAAAGAAAACACAAGTTCTGTATACACAGCTGCCTCTCTAAAATCCAGAAAAATCTCAGTTTTAATATTGTAAGTATTATTTATGGAGAGAGATAGCTAATTGAAAAACCTTATAATGAGAGCAATTATCTGCTATAGCAACAGAACTAAAATTAAATAACAATTTATTTTACTGACAGAAATTCTTTAAAAATCCATCAGTGATGATTAATCTGTGCTTGATTTTCCTGATATTCATTAACAAAAAAGATTTCCTTTCCAGTCTGCCAATAGTCACGTATACCATGGGTATTAATTTAGTCAATATATCATATTGGAATAAAAATAAAGTTGAAATAACAGTGGAAAAAATATATATATGTGTTGCTTGGAAAGCTTTTGACTGGACAGTATGGCAAGACCATCTTCGCAGTGAGGTAGGTTCTACCAACCTGTTTTGAAATCCATTTTTACACTTCATCTTTCTGGAAACACTGCGATATTGTTATAGAGAATTTTTGTAATTTCAACTATCCATGATCCTTCTGCTTACCATAAGAATCACGCATAGATCTTATAATATTTTTCCCCTCAAGGTGTTGAAAGTTATATATGGCTTGTCCAATTTTTGAGACAACAGATCAAAAGTCTATATGTGCCTGTTCTAATCTGCTTTGCACTGGTGGCAACTTTGAGGATGATCATGCATAGGTACAGAAATGCGATTAAACAGCACAAGCATTGTGACATGAGATGGTTTAGGCACAGAATATAATGCATGGAAATGGCGGTAATAGTATCTGAGAAAAAACAGCCAGAACCAGTCATGCAGAATACAGCACAAATGCAGAATTACCTGCGTAGGTTCCCAAACATGGCTTTTCTCAAGAATGGTGATGCCAAAGCTGAAAACTGCTGCTTTTCAGCAAAGCTAATTAGCTTGCAAGGAGCATCACAAACATGCATCGTGACCATTTCTGTTAAAGTTCAGCTTGGAGGTCTCTGAGGCCTCTCTCTTGGCCATGGATGCATAGCACACAGAGCCCATGGAATTAGGGCATTGGGAGAGAAAAAGAAAAAGCAGTAGCTAAAGCTAGTATTAAAAGGTTCTCACGTCCACTTGATTCACATTTCACAACTGCAATATAACTTAAAAAATCACAAAGCCTGGGCCACATTTCAGCCTGTGCTGGTGGATCACAGTGCCACTCCAAACATCTGTGCTGGGATAATGCTAATGCTGTGCTGCTGGCATGCTCCTCTAGCCTTCGTCTTTGGCTCCCTCCTCAGCTGGCGTGCTGGAGCCTAGAAGGTGTTCTCCAGAGAGCAGTCTGCAGCTGCCTGACAGAGATCCTATTCCAAGGCAATTTTCTTTCAACAGGAAGAGGCTTTGAGAATACCTTATGCATCTTCAACCTTTTACTTGGCATAAAGATACTGGAAGAGGCAATGATATTACTCAGCCACCCTAATAGTACTATTTCCCTTAATACTGTACTAAAGGGTAATGTTTTAGCACTGACTTGGAAGTGTGATTGATGTATATTGAACTGCCAGTGCTATTTCTGCTGCAGTTTTCTCTCTAAATCTCCTTTCCAGGTGTTGCCTCTTGCCATAAATTGACAGATCTGAAGAGATTAGCATGGAGTGCAGAGACCAAAGGATATCCTAGACGAAGGACATCCTAGATGCCATTTAACTGTGTATAACTATGAAATTCATTACTGGCAAGTGGAATTTTTTATTTATTTCTGCTGCAACGATGATTATATACAGAACAATAATCAAGAAAGGACATAATATAAATCAGGGATTACTTGAACAGCTCCTCTAGCAGTTTTCTATTTTCTCTTCCACATTAAGAGGAAATGTTGTAGATTAAATAAATTATCAAGAGGCTTAATAACAATCAATCAATTATATGGCTAGACCGGAGGGCAAAGGAATGGGCATACCCACACCACACAATGCAACATTATACAGTGACCCCCAATTAGGGGCAACCAAGCCAATGGGACATTTAATCACTTCCCTAAAATATTTTGCCTAATAGAGTGTATTTACAGGTACAGCTTGCTTTTAAAAATAGACTAGTTTTCATTCTTAGCTTAATAGAAAAAAAGCTGGCAGTGATTGGCCAAGCTCTTCCTTCTCCTCCACAACTTTAATTCCTGTGTTTTCCTGTTGCAGTGTCCAAGACCATTCCCTTACTCCTTAAGCTGCTATTTCATAGAGATGCTATCCTTGGTAAATCAAACAGCTTACAAAAATAATATATGCATCATTTGCATGTCCTTAACAGGATCTGTTTACTGTTACATAAGAAGCAACAAAAGCATGGGCATATTTGTATAAAATAAAATAAATCAAAGTTTTTATTTCTAGAGTGAATAACACCAACTTATCCCTTATGTATTCCTATGAAGGAATTAATAAAGATTGGACTTTAGCATATTTAGCCAAGGTAGTGTATCCACCTTTCCATTGTTTTTCTCAAATGCTCCTGTTCTAGTGTGCTTCTAGTGAAACAAGAATAAAGCATTTCCTCTGAATTCTGGACTGCCTAAGTACATTTCTCCAGGTACTTAAACTTTACAAACTGCAGCAACTGCATAACTTCTACCAAGCAGCAGCAAGTCACCCAGACATCCTTATTTCATTTTGACTAGGTGACTCTACACAATTTAAGTCTGAAACAAGTCCTTAATGTCACACTGAAAATGAAACCAGTAATTTTGATGTATAGCTGAGGCCTTTGATACAAAATGTATTAATCTGATTAAATAATAATTAACTTGTTACATCTTTAATCTAAGGTGTTTGAAAAAGATGTATGAAAAAGATGTGCCTTGTACAAGTTTAATGTTAATATTAGCTATGTTACAAAAAAAAGACATTTTATTAGCTATTTGCTGTCTTCAGACAATGCACTTGTGAAGAATCCCTCTGCATATCCCATGAACAAGGGCTGAGTTACAGAAGCATTTCAGTGCATATACTTTTCAAAGCAGTTTTCCACATTTTGCTTGCTGATAATCCAAGCCAAATATCACATGGCCTTTCAGACAGTGTTTTTTTTTTTTTTTTTTTTTTTTTTTTTCTCTCTCCTTGCCACCACTGTGGGGCTCATTCAAGGAAGTAAAAGCAAAACTCTGCTATGCAGCTGGCCCTGCACCTGCTCCCTTCCTATAGCATTTCCTTCTGAGAGAGGCAATGTTACAAGTGCCTGACTTTGGCATCAAGTCCAGGAGGAAATGTCCAGATACAGCTTTTCTGGAAATCTCTTCAGGGCAGACTGAACACGCTGGGCTAAAAAATGTTATGAAAGATGTTTTTCCCATCTCAAGAGAATGAACAAAGCATCTTGCTCCCAAATATTATGTTTGGAAGCTGAAACTCAAAGTATTGTTGAATGGGGTTTAGTGGGAGCAGCAATATTTAGGCCTTCAGCCTATTTTGGGATAGCATTCTCTGAAAAGAATAGGCTGAGAGCTTTGACTCGATGCTATAGGTTGCCAAGGAGCACCCTTCCATGCCAGTAGGCTGTGATGGATTTTGCATTACATTCACAGCACTGCTGGGACAGACACCACGCTGCTGGCCAGGACAGGGATTTCTGCACATATCACTTGAGAAATTCATCAAGTTGCAAAATGCCTCCAAGCATGCCTGCATTATAAAGTATTCAATTTCCCTGCCTCGTTGGCTCCCTGTTTCCTTCCTGAAATCCTATTTAATCTCCAGGAACAGGAACATATGCATCCCGTATGTATCTGAATTTCCAGCTGCTCCTAACATGTGCTTTCTGTGCAGCAGTCCTGGAAGTGAGGACATCCTGGAGACAGAGACCCAACACTGCTCCTGCCCATTCTCAGATCTTCTTTCCACCTTGTTCCCCGTAAACAACCAAAATAATAGATGCTCATTTTCAGGGAAGATGTCCCTTTTATCTTTTGCAGGTGGAACTACAGATAAAAATGCTTTAGCCACAGCAGAGAGAAATGAGTGCACCATAAAGTGCTGTGGCTATCCACATTTCCCCCCGTTCCATTTTACCTCCTTTTACTTTTGTCACCAGCTGCTTCTTATAGGCAGGTACCCTCTACTGGAGCAGCCTTTTTCCAGCTCTGTGGGGATGCTGAGCCAGAAGCCATAACCTGTAACCAAAACACACCTCACCCTGAAGAGCTAGGCTTTATCCTGGTGTAGAGGACACACTGCTGAGAGTAGTAGCATTTGCTTTCCAAGAACAGCAAAAACTTCAAAGGCCATGGGAACATCCCACACAAGACTGCGGTAGAGAGTTGTTGGTTTGGGACTGCTTTTACGACACACTGTAAAAGAAAATAGCATCAGTGAGAAATGCTACACTTAGATATGGCACACCAACGAGCAATTTATGACTTCTGTGAAGAAATAAAACTGCCTTTTTGGTGAATAGTGTGTTCTTCACATCAACAGCGGGCTGTTTGATAGAGCATTTTATGGTGACTGTATAGCTCTTGCTGCCTTGTTGCCTTTCCAGTTTTCCCACCCCTTTTGTAAAGGAAGGTAAAGATACAGCAAAGAGGAGAAGCAGTCTTTCTGCCCATCTTGTCAATTTAAGACATGCCATGATACTGGGTAATAGGAAGTATCATTTTGAAGCCCTATATTGGGAGAATTTATGAAGATAGTTTCAAGATGACAGAAAGGCATTTAGTTATTTAAACCAGATGAAATTCAAAAAATTTGCTCAACTGTAGCTGCATGCTTCATGCCAGTTTTTCTTACCCACGTGGTAATCGGAAGGAGAAAATAATTGCCAGTCATCATCCATCATATGCTTAGGGTAGTTTAGTACTCATTTATGTGTAACTTCAGAGCTACTCTGGATATGTGATTGCTCTGACAGGCGTGTGGCTTGCTCTTTTTGTCAGCAGAGTTACTAGAAATAACTTTTTTATTTTACCACCTGGGTAAAGTTTACCATGGACATAAACAAAAATTATGCAAGAACCTTTTTAGTGCTTTTTTAGATCCAGAAAGCCAAAAGGTTGTTACTGGTGAGAAACGGGGAAGCTGGAAGAGCATTACTTACAAGAAAGGCCCCCTTGGAGGTCAGTGGCTTGAAAAAAAAAAACAGACAAGAATTACTGAGTGGGATCTGGGCCCAAGTCAGTAGTGTCACATTGTATTTTATGTCAGTGATTACTGAAAGCAGGGCAACATGGACTGAGTCAGTATCTACAGGACAGTTTAATTCACTTTTGAGCCCTCTGAAAAGCCCTAACTTGACTTGTATCCATTTACTTGTTTAATTTTTGGAGATTGGGCCAGAGCTCCAATTGAGATCTTGGCACACCAGATCATGCTGCTGGGATATAATAAATAAAATAATGAGGATGCAAGTCCTGAGCAAAAAACATTTCTCATGGCACTCTGTATATGCAAAATAAACAAACAAAACAAAACAACAGCAGAAATAGAAGCCAAACCTATGGAACTTATAGCTACATCTCTTGCTTGCACATTGCTTCTTCCTTCTTCTACCTTTACTAATGGCTCAAACTTTTAACTTCAGAGAGCTCTACTATCTGTGAAATCTTTCTGTAATATTTCTCCTATCTTCTAAGTGTTCTTGATGTTTTCTCTCTTGCTACATCTGCTCAGATTTGCTACATATGATTCAATGAGAGAAAGGATGTTCAAAAAAAGGTTCAAGAAGGAAAAGCCAGTATTATGAGAAGTCTCTCAAAGAAATGCATGGCTCATAATACACGGAAAGAACCTGAGCAGAATTTGATTCCAGTGTGACTGCAAGAGAGATCCTGTGACTCTGAAAGTTTGAAGCACAAATCAAACCCATAATCAGTGTCAGAAAATGGTTAAATATGAAAGATTGCTGTGAGTAATACAGAATTATATAGTTTTGTTTTGCCTTTTTTCCACACCAAAAAAGGAATAACATGAAAAGTTGCATGCTGTAGAACATTAGCTATAAATCTCTCACACGTAGTTGCATAAAGAAAAAAAAAAACAAAGCTAAGAGAGTCAGTTAGGCGGTATGAATTCTTCTTGGAGGAGACAGTGCTAGCTACTTCTTTTTAATGCTGAACACTTCAATGAGCTAATAGGAACTATACTCACTGTGGAATAACACACTAGATGGGCCTCAGGAAAGCAACATGACAAATTTAACATGTTAGAAAATGAGCTTAGGAAATTTGTAACACAAACTTGCTGGCAAATACTGAAAATCCATCAGCCATTTCATGAAAATAAATAAATAAATAAAGATGTAAAGTCTCCTTGATGACTTACAGCTTTGGGCCTGGTAACAAAGGATTGTTTTCTGAAAGATACAAGTCTTCAAGAGATGTCTCAGAGGTATTTTCAAGTCATGCAACTAACTAACCTCCCTTAATTTTATAGGTGATAGGCATTTACTATTACTAAATTCATTTATGGGATTTTGATCGTCTCCACAGCCCATAACAATGTTAATTCCTTCCAAACCAAAATCATTTCATTTTCATTTCCCTCAAGGCCCTGGAGTCCTTTTTAGAGGAAACATCTTTTTCTTTTTTGGCTTCTCTACAGATATCTATTATGTTAGGGCAGAGGTTTTATTGGAGACATTAGAGATGGAAAGGACTTACTTAGTCATTTAGGACTTATTTAGTCATAGACACAGTCGTCCTGCAGTCCAGTCCATTATTAAGTGGGTTCTTACTGTATTTTCCCATGGCACTGTCTTCTGGCACGCATATGAGGGAAAATTCCCCATGAGATTTACATGGAGTCCCCTTTCTCCTTTTTATCCTTTTGTCCTTTGACATTGACTGTTTGACCCCTACTCCCTTCTGCATGCTTTAAGCTTTGAAAAATGCTATTTTACATATTCCACTTCACTTTTGTTTTTCCTGATGGAGGTTTTAGCAATGTAGTACTTACCCTGTGTGGGCAGACCTTAAAGGGAAGACTGAGGCTTTTGGTATTGCATATAAAAACTTACTCTTCAGATGAAACACAAGTAAATTCAGAGGGAATCACTCTGAGGTTTCCAAGATTTTTCTCTTTATTGAGGAGGGAATGCAAAAGGCCATCAAGTCCATAAAATTTGGGTATTATGGTCTTGCAATTATACAATGGTCTGGAATTAGTGGTGTGGAAAGAGGATCATTAGCTGATAGTTTGCAAATTATTGCTGACTGGTGACTGTTTTCCAAAATGTGGGCTACAACTGGAACATCACCCTGACCGAGTCATCATGATAGCACTGAAATGCTAGTTTTGAACATTACAATCTACTACAATAGATAGATCAATGCTAATTTAACATTTGTCTCCACATGGATGATTAAGAACTTTTAAAGATAACTACTCACTGGTGGAGAGCATGCAGGCCTTTTAGTCTGACTCTTTTCTCTTGGTTGCATATTTCGGCAACTCCCAAAGCCTTTATTGATGGATCTGAGAATGAAAGTCCAAAAATAATCAGTTCAGAACTGAAGTCACAGTGAATGGTAACCTATTGCCCCAGTCAAGCAAACTGTTTGTCTTTTATTCTTTATTGTTTTAGAAAAGGGCTATAGCTTTTTAAAGTGTGATTTGATTTTATCATGACAGGCTATGATGATTTGAAACTGTATTTCAGACAATGAATAAATGGCCTATAATAACAGCTTAACTGATTCACTGACTTTCTCTCAGATGTTCTATTCTTTTAACTAATTTCTAATTTGTTAGCATGCTTGCCAATACAAAACTCCTTTGACAGAAAGTACAAATGGTATCCAAACTAGAGACAGCAGTTACTACCTTTCAGGTTGATGAACCTGAAAGTTCCTACCTTACAGGTTGGTGCATAAGATTTGATTTGGATTTCAGGGTTAAGTGAGGGTAAGATAACCTTTAACTCAGGAGCTTTAGTTTTGTGTTTATCAATTAATTCTTTTCCATTAAGTTTTCAAATGCGGTACGTGTTCAATTTGTTCTTTCTTTTGCACGTATGTTTTTAAAATTGTGGCCATATTTTCCTTCCAAATGATATAATTACTTCAGGATGTCTTCACTTCTTTCTTGTTATTTTTGCTGGAAACAGTGAAAATATACTTAAACTGCTCCTTGGCAGCCCTATATACCATACCGACCCAATTTATAGCATCTGCCTTGCAACAGTGTGTACCATCATTTGCCAAACATTCTGTAACTGCAAAATAATAAGAAAATAATAGTGGAGTGTTCCTACCCTTTTATGCTCTCTATTCTGTCTCCCACATGTCCCATGGAGCCTAGATAATGCAATGTTTTGTTGGATAGATTGTTGAGTCAGCATGGAGAAACAGAGTCAGACCCGCGCTGGAAGTATTCATTGAGCAATGCTCATGGCTTCCCAGGCCAAGGAGTGCTAGAGATCTGTTATTAAAGAAAGCTGTTGAAGATTAGTGATCAGCTAGCAAAGTTTAATAGCAGAACAAATATCCTTCTGCAGACACGGAAAACAAAAGAGCAAGAGAAAACAATTCTATCAAACGGTACCTGAGTACTTTGAGTTACCTTTCACTTTGACATAGGTGTATGTCAATTTCCTCCAATTTTGGCACACTGCAATTAACACTTTGTTTTTTGTTGGGAGTCCTAAACCTCTATGTGTGATCAGCAAGGGTCTGATTCAATGTGGTACACTCAGATTACTATAGAGATGGCAATTATACAGCCTTCTTCTAAAGCCTTACTGTGCATTCTGGAACACTAAGATAATAAATGGGTGAAAGATTCACTGAACTGTATAATTGCTCTTTTCTCTATATACTTTTTTTTTTTTAAAGCTTTAGCTCTGCAAGACTAATGAAAAACAAATTAGTATATTTCTTTCCAACATCTGTAGATAGTACACTTCATTTGCTTCCTCCTCTTTTGCTCTTATACCTTCCCACAGAGAGGTCGACGAGCTTTTCTTCTGAGATCTGCAGAAGAACTGAAGAATTACACCCTACTGGTTTCTGAAAGCTGACTTCTTCACCTTCTCTGCTTTTATATATATATTTTTTTTTTCTCTAGTGTAGCTTCCTTCTCAGTGGGTTCTATGACTTTTCCAGCACAAAATGTGTTCACCAGATTCTCAAGAATTTATTTCCCTAGACGTTCTGCAGCACAGCTATTATTGCTGGGGCATGTTAAAAATAATATTCTATATATCCTCAAACAAGAATGATCTAGTTGATGCCTCTAATTATGTATTTGGTGGGGATGTCTTATCCTTATTTTGAATCATACTTTCAATTGCACAATTTATGAGAAGCAGCTCCCTGGAAGAAATAGTGAGATGTGAAAACCGTAATAGATAGGAAAAAATCAATAGTAGAAAAATTCATTTCTAATTGGCAAGTTATGGGGGTAGGCAGTTATTGTGACACCTTAACTTTTTGTTCATTATATATCTATTTTTAGAGAGAGACAAGTTGCAAGAGGCCAAGCAAGGCATGATGGAAACCCTGTAATGAATCTGCTAGTAGGAAAAGCATTCAGTCCCAACTTCTTGCACATGTCCCACTGGTAGCCAAATCATCAGGTGCAATCATTGAGGCTGAAGCTGGCCTGAGGCTGCCTCTCTCATGATGATGAGAGCCATCGCTGGTAGGTTGTGGAGGCATAGTTAGCTGACCTTTCTCTCTGCTCTGCCAGATCTTGTTTTCTTTTTGAAGTGGTGTCACTGTGCAACAAGAGAGATAAAAAGGGTTTCATGCCCCCTGGGAGTTTGAACCCCCTCTACCTTAGCAGTCCATTCAGCTAGTGCCTTCTGTATCTGATCCTTTGGGCGCTATTATTGAGATGCCTCACTCCTTCACCACCGCTGAGCAAGTGTCTTGTACAGATGGAATGGCTTCAGGCATAGTGTTTGAACATGGCTTGTGTCTTCCTGCTGTTTGCATACACCCTAAATAAAATCTAATTTATTTTTAAAGGAGTACACCATATTGTACAGTTGTATAAGTTTGAGTGTTGATTGTTACCTCAATTTTCAAAGGTAATAACTACTACATTTAATTTCTTACAGTTTTTATTTAATAGTAAAGATTTTGCCTTATCGCAGTTGCACTGCACACCTTTAGCAACCTAAACAATCAACTAGACATAAAATGCTTGAATAATTTTATTTTTTTTGGTATCCTAAGTTAGCTGAGTCATAACAGGTGTTGAGAGGTCACACCAGTAGGGCCAGTAAGTCAAAGTTAAATCATCAGATTTTCCTGAATACACAGAAAACAACATAACATGTTAAGTCATGGATCTGGGCCTAAATAAATGTAATTGCCTTTTTCTGATGTGCATGAGTTGGATCTGCAGCTGACTAGATTGCCAGAGAAGCCAAGATGTAGTGGGAGAAGTTGGCATCCTGTAGCTCTCCCACCCACACTACTCTTCATCTCGGTCCTAAAATTGTCCTTTCAGAAAAGCCTAGCACCTCACAGAATCAGGAGTCATGAAGTGAGGAAGAACACATATCATCTATTTTCCTATCTGAATATTTTTCACTGTTCTTCATATTTTTAAGTTCCCAGCACTGCACAGAATCAACAGCTTTTGTGGGTTTTGCTTTGACTCCTCAGCCTTTGGAGAAAGTGCGTATAAGCAGGTCAGCCAAGAACAGGTGAAAGGAGACAAATAACAATTTCCTCCCCGCAAAGATACTTTGGTCATGCCTATTCGAAGATGCACCAACTGATAATAAGTGAGGAAATGGATTTGTAATTATGAAATTAAATTGTAATATTCTGAAGTATTTTGAAATCAGCGTTATGCTATTAATACAATCAAGCATTTGAAACCTTATATTTGTTTAAAAAAATAAATAAATTAACAGATGACTGAAGCCAAACTTTGAATTAAGGCCTTTAAATTCACTCCTTGTTAAGTGGAACATTATATGACTACTTTGTGGGGATGGATAAAGCACACAAAGTGTTACATACATTCTCAAAAACAGTGAAAATAAAAACCCCATTTTCCATAACTTGATTTTTAAATTTCAATTAAGCAGAAAAATACCGCTTCATTACTTGAAAAAACTTTCTAATATAGTCCCATGGAAATGCTCTGCACTAAAAGTACTGAAATAATATAACAATTTTGAAAAATAATGGAATACAAACGCTGACATGAATATATCCTATGGCATACAGTAGATACCGCGAAAATAAATAGTAAAAATTACTATGAACTTTGAGTCATGTTCTGCTATAGTTTTCCTTTGGAAGTAATGAGCATCCATACCTGTCAGTGCCTTTCCCTTCAAGGGTCCCACTTCACAATTACTTTTGCTGAATGCCTATGAGGTTTGAGAGACTGTAGGAAAACCCTGGCTAATGTATATCCTTTCCTTCGAAGTTGTACTGAAATTGCATTTGGAGTCTGTATTGGTGATCAAGCTTTTAGACACTATACAGAGAACAGAAAAAGAAAAAAAAAAATGCAATTTTTGGTATATTACTCTGAATACCTCACTGAACTGTGAGGGTTTGTTTACAAAGTTGCTCAGCAGCTTCCCTTTCCATTGACTTCAGTTGCTGGCTCTTCAGGTCCTTAGTTTACAAAAGGAAGGGTTATTGAAAAGAGAATACACACACTATTTCAAGAGCTACACTGCGGTATTTTTGCATTATTTAGATCCATTCAGAATACGTGTTTCAGTTCATTTCTAAACATTTTGCTTAGACAAATAAATTTATGTAGTAGATACAAAGAAAATCATTAGCCTTTCAGGATTTTCAAAGCAGCTGAGCCATCACAGTGTCCAACATCTACTGAAATTTATTGGGATTTGACTAATTCCCTTAAATTTTACAGAAAATGCCAGCTTTGTAAGTAGCTATGGGAAAAACTGAAGCCATTACTATTAGCCATGCTGTCATCTTAACACATAATAAAAACAAAACAAAACAAAACAAAAAACCAAACATACCAAATGCTCTGCATGCAGGGAGCTTCCTTGTCTGGGAGTAAGTAAGGCAAGGAAAAAGAAGTCACACCTTAAGGAAGATTTCAGCATCATCTGAAATAGGCTTTACATCCAAATGAAATATAGAAAATTCTAAACAGTTTGATTTGGGGGAATGAACCTGTCATAGGACCTATTTTATAATGGTCATATACATAAATTTTTGAAACATTGCACTTAATTATCAATCACACTGATACTTAATGGCTGAAATATTATGTAGGTAAATACTTCCACTGGTGTCAATATGAACATTATTCATGCATGTGTCTAAATATTTTGTTATTTATTTCTGCATTTTGCTCTTACAACTTTCATTTTTAATATAACATAATCAAAAGGACAAAATATTTAATTCCAGATGAAACAGAATAGAACTATATTAAATACATTGAAACATTTTTTCTCCCATTCTTCAAGTTTTTCTAAACTCTGAGGCTATCAGATACTTAGGACTCTCCTGGACATCCTTAGAGTTGAAAACCTCATATTAGAAGCGAACTTTAGGGAGTGATTATTTTTTCTGAAATAAAAAGCCAGAATTAGTCAATGTTCCAGGAACATTTTGAGGACATACAAAGGTGATCGCAATCAGAAATACCACCTTGAAAATAGTAAGGAAACATGAAATATGTAAGCATTCACAGGAGCTGAAGGTTTTTGTTTGTTTGTTTCTGGCAGACAGAACTTATTCAAAAACTTGATGCAAACTGGTTTGGATTCCCTACTCTATTTCATGAATTATCACTGCATAATGAATATAAGCTTTGGCCTTCTTGGATAAACATGATGGTTTACCCAGCCACAGTGCTGGGAATACCTGGAAGATGTTTTGAACAAATGAGAAAGAGGCCCCAAATTATGCTACTACTTACTCAGACATTCATGAATTCTTTTAAACTGAATGTTTTAGTAGGTAATCTCTTGCTGCTATAGAAATTAAGAGTGCAGTAAGTCATATTTTACTGTCAGATATGTAGATTAAATAAATATCTACAGCAAGGGAATGGTGAGATGTTAGGCAATATTTATGAACCATAACCTATACAGCCCTGATCCCTCAGACCTCATTCAACAGAGATGCTGAACTTAAGACTTCTAATCATGTGCTTCAATAGGAATTGTAGGCTTTGTACATGAAATCATTTCAGATATTTAAATTTCATACCTACAAGAAGCCTCCTTCTTCCCAGACCTACTTGGTATCAGCTAGAATCTTCTCTAGAGGAGCTTTAACTGATAAACATAGTTCACGTGGTGGTTACTAAATCATGAATTCACAGCAAGCGTAAGCTGGGTTTTCTATCAACTGGAAAAACAGATTTTGGGGGGCTAGCCTCATCCTACCCATTTCAGAAAAGACAGACAAAAAATATTCAAATACTAAGGCAGATTTTTGAGGCAGATAGCAAACTGCATCTATTTTCAGTAGTGAGTTTGAAAGACTTGATCCGTACCTCGTTTCAGTGCAGCCTACCATCAATACTTTAAGAAAGAGTTGGCATTGAAGATATTTTCTTCATGACTTCTGTATCCTGAGAGCTCCTGTACTGAAGAAAGCACAGTATCTGGCTTCCTCTGCTCCTGGATGCCTGGATGTCTCAGAATCTGTTTTGATAAAGACAATTTGGGCAAAACATTTTTATTTATTTATTTATTTTATTTATTTATTTCCCAAAAGGAATTCTAGACTGCAGGACAAGTGCAGAGAGTGCAGCAATCACTGCTGCAGGTCTGTTGTTTGTGATAATGGGGCATTTTTCAGATCACTTTTAGGATAATTTTTAGACCATGGAAGACTGCCCTGGGCATGTTCCTGTGGGAACAAATGGTCTGTTTATTGGTGCAAATTTAGCTCATTAAACAAGATATGTCTGTTTATTGTGAGAAGGCTTATGGTGAGAACTCTTCTGCTGCATCTTTTTATTATGCTTTTCTCTCTATTCCAGTAATAGGAAGAGGTTATATATTCAAGCTTCTTTCTCAAAGTTGCTTCCTGAGCAAGCAATTCCTCTCATGTGGAAGCAAGACATTACTCCACTACCCATCCAGCCCAGTAACTTTAACACAGAAATGCAGTGCCAACACTGAGGATCTAGCTTTTGTCCCAGGTTAACACTACATAGTATGTATCTGCTGCTAATGCATTATTTTAATAGATAGTGTCTACTCTTAATAACACGATTTAACTCTGAAAACTATAATACTAAAAATCAGAAGTAATTATTTTATTCTGCAGATTTTTTTTTTTCCACAGAATTCTGAAACCAATCAGAGAAGACTGCTTATATTTAGATTAAAGACTAAAATTGTTGCTTTGTAAGGGAAAGAATCACATACCCAAACCCATCAATATTTCCAGGCAAAAAGCTAAGTGCTTTCTTCATAGATTCACAGTTGTCTATATGCATAAAACAGTGAATTTTGCTAGCCCAGACTGACACAAATACCCTTGGCTCCCTTAGTACCAGTCCTAAAGCTCCATCTTCAGTAGGAATTCTACCAGCATTGGCCCACTGGCTAATGTTAGTCTCTATCATCCCTTTTGCTGTGTCTGAACCCCTGCTACGGAGCCCCTAGATATCCAAGACCAGTGTGAATCACAGAAACTTCCTCCTGCATGAAGTCCCTGTGCATAACACTGATTCATAAGCCCTTCCAGGCTACATGCCAGCACAAACTCTAGTCTTCATTTGAGCTTAAGATCTCTGGACAGCCAGAGGTGACCAAAGAGAAAATCCAAGGATCTATGACTAAGCCTCCAGTAGGAACATGTTTTCACCCAATGCCTAACCCCACATCATTAGCCCTTACTGTGTGTCAATGCACATCCATTACTGCTTTAAAACTCGTTAGGTACAACACACTGCTGATAATTTGAAACTTAATTCCTGGTTCCCTCATCAAGCAAAATCCTGAACCCTGGTTGTTATCCTGTATTTATCCACAAATCAGCTACCATGTCTCTGAGACCCAGCTCCAGCACTGGCTCATACTCAGCTGCAGTGGCTCTCCAAGTTTTTTCAATGCTAGTCAGGTCCTTGCTGTCCTGAGTTTTTAACTGCCACATTAAACATGAGCTGGAGAGACTGGACCTAGTCAAGAGGTCTTTGCCTGATTTATCCATGTGGAAAGCTTTTCTCCCCTGTGGAGTTATGGTTCTACAGCCCTCAACAAACCTGAACCCTAATTTCAACCCAGCAATAAACTGATTTTCCTCTAATCCAAAATTCTTGGCAACTAAAATAACGTAATTAGGGTGTTTCTGTTGGCACTAGAACTTTTTCTGTGAGGGTGAAACATATTACAGTTGTATGTAGTTCAAGCTCCTTAAGCACCGCCAGCTAAAACACAAATTTGAACCTATCTGAGCATCCTCTCAGGCAATGGATCTAGTTTTACGTCCAACTCTGTCAAAACCTGGCAAATAGTTTTGTACGGAGCTGCTTAGTGGCTCTTGTCTGCATTAAACTTAACCCTAACACTAATATTAGCCTTAACTTTAATCACAGGCCAGCAAATGCTGCCTCTGCAGACAGAATAAATTTATTTTATAAAGCCTCGTCAGTTGAAGCACTTGCCATGATACAATCACTAGTCCTAAAATGGAGCTTTCTTCTCCTAGTTTTACTCAGGACCTGAGCTAGAACCAGATCTATAATTGTCTATTTCTGAATTATTTTGACAATAATCTTGGTTTATCATCTCCTATCATCTGAATCCAAAACCTTGGAAAAATCTCACCTGCACTCTGAATGAATGTTCATCATGCATGTTCTTGCATTCATTCTTGGTGATTCATTAATGCAGCTGAATATATTGACTCAAACCAAGAGACTTATTTGTTTTGAAGAATCTGCCTTTTAGACTCAAAATCATAAAAGAACTAAGCAGAAGGTCTGCATTTATCTTACCAGTTTCCCTTATCCCAGCAAGGTGCCACCTCTGACTGAATGACAGGGGTTGTCCGCTTGTAGTAATGTTCTGTCTGTGCATCTCAGCTTGCTGAAGCTTCACCATCAGTCAGCTGACAGTAGCCTCATTACTTCTGTTGGTTAAGCCAGCACTGGGAAATGTAAAGGGTTTGCCTTTGAGCCTATGGCACTGCAGGCTTACAGAGAACGAAAAATACCAGCCGGTCAGAGTCGGACAGGTAACTACTTGGCAATTCCCCTTACTTGGTAATTTGGTGGAAGCTTTCTGACTTCACGTGTTTTCTCAGTGGGATTTTTGGCTAGTGTCAGACATACCAGCTGAGAGACATATGGCAGTATTTTTATTTTTTTAATATAAATATAGCTTACTCATTCTCTATAGAAAGTAAAAATCAAAGATGAAAATGGGTGAGTCATTAAACAGAAGAACTGCAATATAATTATTACTGCTAAAAGTAAATATCCTACTGGCTACTGCCCACACAAAAAGACAGTGCTCATCCAAATTAATGATAAGTGTCACAACTGTTTGAACTCTCTCGTGACTGTCCTGAATATTGCCAAGATCAGTACCCAAAGCCAAACCTTTAGATAAATATCAGATGCCAGGTGCTTGGTGTCTCTGGACTAATACATTCCAACAATATTCACTCAGACAGGGCTGCTTTCCTGTTTGTGGTTTCCACTCAAGAAGGTCACATTTTAACTTGCATTAGGCAATGTACGTGTGAGCTGCTCTTAATAAACGCATATCATCTGGAATACTGCCACCATAAAGCTCAGTTACCTCAGTTTATCCTTTCTACTGAAACCAAAGCTTAATGGGATAGGACAATACCTACAGGTTTCCTATTAAGCCAAACTCCAAACAATGGCTTCTTTTATACAACAGTCTGTTCACAATAACTGTTGTGACATATCCCTTAGAAAAAGGGAAGATCATTTCTCTATAGCACTGGAATCAGATATGTACCGTGAAATGGTACCAGGCAGAAATCAGTGATCCTGCTGTATTCTGAAAACAGGACATGGCAAGTTAGAAGGAAGATGGATGTCCAAAGTCAAAAAGCAAGGTTTGAACACAACTCTGCCAAGACAACCCAAAGAGACTTTTATGCTGTTAATTACTGCTCTTGTTCCCAGAGTTTCTGCCTCCTGCCAGCTACAAGTGAAGGAGAGGGAGGGAAAGGCATGGGGCTGCCCATTGGTCTCAAAGCCCATCAGCAGCACTGGGGAACTTCCACTCTTTATTTAATGCTGGGAAAGAGCATGATGTCTGAGCTCACTAGAAGCACTATCTGAGCTTCCACTCTTCATAGTTCACATTGCTGGAAGTATCAAAGGTGTACATATGTTGGTGTGCAGTGCACACTGGAGATTTGTTTTATTTCATTTTAATTTTACTTTATTACTACTGATTAAAAACATTTTTCTGTCTTTCCTAGAAGAAAGCCTGGCATGAGTAACCTACTCAAAAAAGTAATGTTTTGGCTTTGCACTATATCAAGAAAGCCTCTGCTAACCGCATCAAACTCTGATGTCTGAGGCACAAATCATTCCATGTTACTACTTCGGCTTTTAGTTAGGAGTGTTGTATGTGACAAACATTTCAAGTGATTAATATATAGCCTAATCCATCATCTTCTATCTCAATTTTTCCTTGTTATGTGAAATGATAGAATTATTGTTATTGCTATTTTTCATGAGAATAATTTATCCTAAATCAACATGTACTAAATTATCAGTCAACATTTTCCTTCTTCCTTTCTAACATCATCTTCAACCTGCCAAATCCTGCTGCAAACCTTAGCAGAACACAATTTTCATTCTTTGCAGCACTCTGTAAACCACTCCTTTGAGATTCACTATGTAGCCAGAGGTATGAGTTTCTTTATCAAAACATATCTTGCCTTGAAACTTCAGGATAATCGTAGTTTTCCCCATTACTCATCTGCAACAACAACACTGAGCTCAGCAGGTCTGTGGGAAACTGAAATAAACTGGGAGGAAGGCTGAGATGGGAATATTTCAGTTGAAATTTTTCTCTCAAATATGAAGAGTCAGTTATCACAAACTTAGAGATATATCAGTTTGTTAGTTCAGTATGATACCTCATGCCTTTAAAATCACAAAGGAACAGATGTTCTTTATCTGTGAAATTTTTGTGGATTTGTGTTTTTTGTTGTTGTTGTTTGTTTGTTTCTTTTCTTCAAAATATCCTTCCATGACAGCACAGGCTCCCAGGATATATCAGTTTCCACTAGTTCTTTTAGAAGTCCTCTGTCTATATTTGCTCTAGTCAAGTAATGAGGCATGAGAATGTGTTTAGGCCCTGAGGCCAAGTGGTCTGGCATGGCCTACCTCTACAGTAGGCTGTTGGACTCCAAAACAAGAGTTTCTAGGGGTCTGCCAACAGGGAATGGTCACTACAACAATTTAACAGCCAAAGCACCAAAACATGCCCAGCAATTGCTTGGGTACAGTATTATTTAGAGAGGGTTGAATTTGTGCCAGGTAAACTTCTGTTTACTAGCACAGACACTCACACTCCACACAGAAAAGTTCCCAGGAACAAATGGATTTACTAATATAGACAACAGTATTTCAAGGTTTCAAGGGGCCAACGGATTACAGATTCACTGGGTGTGATTTATGATCCATATTTGATGTCTTTCTTCCCTTAATGGTGTCCTGGAATCTCTGTGGGAGTAATAAAACATCTAATAAAGCTGTTCTGTCTTTGTGTGATATGGAAAGGAGGGAATAACTATGGGTGCTTGGGTTGTTTAATAACTTGCTAATTTGCAAGAAGCATGTTGTAGGTAAAACACAATGGGAGCACTAGAAAATTGCAAAATAAAAGCCAACCCATGATTGATAGTGGATTCGAGACAGAACAAAATCTAAATAAAGTATTTCAAAAGGTTCCCTTATTCCACTGAATTCCAGTAAATTACGCATGCTTTCCTGTGTGTTTTGGCAGTGGGAAAAATATACAAAAGTGTCTCTTAATTCTGGAAACACAAGGAGTACATATGTCCTTACACGTTATTTCAGGTCTGGTATTCAACTCTTCAAGCAATTTATGTCATTATGTCATCCTGCCACTTCGTGACAAGACTGTAACTTACCACAGGAAAACTGTTTTGTTGAATTGGACTTTGCAAAGTATAACACAAGCAAAGTGCTGCACAACATCTTTCAGGGCTTGCCTTGTTTTCTGTTCAAATGTAGAAAACCTTCAGAAAAATGCTTTGCCAAATATCTCCTTTGTGCAATCCCCAGTATCTTCTAAAAGTCAAGAAAATCTGCTAGTATGAATAAAGACATATCCTTATATAGGGTTTGTGCCCGAGTGCAGGATGTTTGGGAAGCATCTTGAGGAAGAAAGAGGATTAGCATAGTGGGCTGTCATACTCTCTAACAACAACAACAAAATATTTTCTACCTGCAGCCTGGTCTGTTTGAATGCTCTGCTAAATGTAATCATCGGAACGACTGACTAATTTTTTGAAAAACACAGGCTGTAAACGATCTGGCTGCCGTTCAAATGTATATAATTGTTTCAGAATGAGCAAAAAGCACGATCAGGCCATGTGAGGCCAGCAAGAGGAGAGGAGGGAAAGTCTGGATTAGAGACTTCCTGTATGAAAAACATCTGCACTGGAGCAGGAGATGCTGCACTTTCGCTGTAGTTTGGCTTAAATATTTACTGATATGACATGGCCTATCTAGCACGCATCGCTCACCCAGCCTGCCCAGGTATGCTGCTTTGGTGATTTAGGAATGTGAGAGCACGCTCAGAAACACATTCCCTTTCACAAGCATATATTATTCAATTTATATTTCATTCAGAGTGGCTGGATGCATGAAGACCTGTGTTTTCAGAAAACTGTAAGAAACTGAAAAGGAATTATTTTGGCTACTTACTGCATCCTATCAGTTCTACTGATGTACATTTAAGAAAATCTTGCATAAAAGTCTCACAACCAAAGTGAGTCAGCTCATCTAATTTAAAAGAAACAACAACAAAGGCACAAGAACAGAAAAAAAGTGACATACAAACCCAACATTTTTTTCAAATTTCTCTTAAGAAACTTCTATAAATGATGATGGCACTTATGTTTTTCACTTCATTGACAACAGGCTTCTTTAGTGGTATAAATGCTATTTACTGAGTTTGCTTGGGAGGATCATTTTGAAAACCCAAGTGATTGTACATTATACCTCATCCTCCTGACATCCTCCAGGGACCTCTCCTCCTAAAGACGCCTTTAGAATTTAACTCCATCAAAATAATTCTCACCAACACACACTCCTTCTTTCACCCCAGCACCTCCTTCCCCTCTATTCCATACACAGGCTACCAGAGTAACAGAAACAGAAGGTAGCTTGTTCAAAGCTTTGCAGCACATAATTTCCAAAAGGCTATTCTCCACTTACATAATTAAGTATCAACACGACAGGCAAGACACTCCTAATGTTTAGGAATTACGTTAGGAAAAACATGACTCAGAAGGCCTATGGTAATAAAGTTAACAGGAACAGAGTCATGGTAGGAAATACAGAATATCAAGAGAAGCTCGTTTTCTCTGTTTTAACACAGTGAAATTACAAATCTGTATAGTTTTGGTGTTTATTGTCCCAAAAAGATTCATAAAAGAATCACAACAATCTTGCAATATGCAGAAAACCTACCTTACAAGATGCTAATGGAGATCAAGTGGGTTGGCTTGTCAAAAATATTCTGATCATGATCTGTAAGAAAGAAAGTAGCAAAGCATTCTTAATTTATCAGTTAAATGCAAAATGAGATGCACTAAGTTCCTGTTCAAGTATTAAAAAAAAATAAAAATCAAAATGTAATAAGAATTAGCTAGGGCTCTTTTTTTTTTTTTTTCAGGTTTGTTTTTGTTTTTGTTTTTCATGTAATTAGAGATGTTCAGGTCCTTGGAGACTTTCCAACAAGACTTGATATCTCTGAGATCTGCTGAAGCTTTAGCACAAAACATGGACCTGATACATAGCTCACTCAGAACAAATTGCAAGCCAGAATTATCCCATTATTCACTTGTGATCTGACTCTGCATAGACAGTGAATCTCATGTCAACAGTGGGAGGCAATCTGTCCAACAGATGGGCCAGCTGAGCCTGAAGTAACACAGTACGGGTATGAAAGGATAAGATCACACCATAAAGAAGTGGACAGGTATTGGTCATTCCTGCTCTGCTAACTTTCTGAGATAGTAAGAGATGTGGTAAAGAGCAGATGCTTATTGCCGGGAGTGATGATCCAGTGGCAAGAGGATGCTGAAGAAAGGATGTAAACAAGACACAATCCCAAAGTCACAAGGTAACAAAGGAAGGATAGCTGGTTTGTCATATGCATGCAAGGCATCGGAGAGTCTCTCCACTCAATTTCCCATTGCACTCAAGTGAGGCAGAAGCCCGTTCTCAGCCAGCTTCTTCTGGCCTCGCTTGACCCTACAGGAGAAGACAATGAGAAGGAGCCTAGCAAGACATAGCTTGCCAGTGGGTGCAGTCGCTGAGAAATTCTGTGTCAGACTCAATGCCTTGACTGTCTGCCAGAGATCCGGCGTGCCTGAACGTTCAGACACATATTGCTGAGTGACTTCAGTGTGTTAGGAAATAAGATTGATGCAGTGAGCAGTGCTATAGCTCTCTATATTCAATATAACTTGTATAGAAAAAATACACGTCTACAAACACTGCTGGATTCCTTCTAGCTGAGATAAACTATTTATGCAAGGTTTATTGTTCTGGGATAATGTAGGTACTAAAAGCTATATTATTCTCTTTGATTTTATTATATCTGATATTTAGATATTATGAAAATTAATTAGTAACATGAAAATTAAATATAAAATTAATTCCTACTGTAGATCTTTATTTCCATTTGCCATTTTGGGATCATCATTCCACAAAACTGATACGTATCCTCTCAGGCTGGAAGCAATTTTGTTTATATGGCATGAATTGTTCTGAATCATAAAATCCTATGAGGAAACCTCAATTTCTGCTATAATTGTTTCCACTTTAAAAAACAGGTCATTTCCAATATATAAACATCCATGCTGACATCGGTATTGCCTTGTAGGATGAAATAATACCTTCTGTGTTTGGTAAGAAAAAACAGTTCAATTTAAAATAAAGGACAGATCATCATGTTCCCCAAACACCGGATTACTGGAGACCAAACTGAAATCCCCAGAAGAATTTTCTTTGCATCTGAATTCAAATTTATCTCCTTAGGAAGACACACTAACAAAGAATGGAAGCACAACATCACATGCAATTTTACATTAGTAAGAATCAATGCACATTAGTTTTTATTAGGGATCTTAAAAGCTTTCCTTTTTATTAGGGATCTTAAAAGCTTTCCTTATCTGCTTTAGTATATTCCTTTTACAAATGTAGGAACTTTTGATTGCTCTCCCTGGGCAGAAATTATGACTTTTGTCCTGAAAAAAAGAACAGGAGCAGACATAACAGCACCACAGAACTGCTTGCCAATTCAGAGAATTTTCTTTGCTCTGCAGCTCTTCCACAGGCAGGGAGTGTAACTGTATGATTAGATTTCTCCTCCTGGCACATGTTGCAACCAAAAAGGAGCAGAAAATTCTTTGCTACCTGTGCACTGTGACCTGCCACATGCACCACACAGATGTTACTGATTTCTCTTGATCACCTCTTCCCCTGGGGTGAAAAGCATGATCCTGGAGAAACTCTGTAATTATTTAAACAAACTGATAAAATTAGAATAGGCTATCATGTATGATATATAATTGTTTCTTACAGCGACTGAGTTTAATCATGGTGGGATGAGAGTTGAACCTTCTGGAGACTAAGAAATGACATTACTTCCTTATTTGGGAAGAGGAAAGCTAAAGAAATAAGGCTGGATACATTTTTATAAAAGCTTTTAATTTACCTTAATTAACTTGTAAAGAGATGCAAACATCCTTGGTTTCTTTGATAAAAGAGGATAGCCAGCTTCTTTTTTGAAGCTTCTTTATTTACTGGCATCTCTTCATTTCAACTACAGATGTTTTCCTGACTATTTTTCAAAGAAACTCTTCTTTCTGCAGCCCCTCTGTTTTGAATGGTAGGCTGAAGTGGAATTGTCAGTGGTCAGCAGACAGCAGCAGGAGGAAGACCTCTGCTTGCTCATAATCCATCTGTAAATCAGCCCTATTCATTACAGTTGCGGCTTGGGAGTGTGGAGAATGGGACTGAAAACTATACAGATGCAGAGTTAAAACACAACATTGTGCAATCTGGTTTCAGTTCTTAAAGAAGCAAAGTCCCAAAAACCTGAGATGATAAGATCATTAGGATGATAAGATTCCTGAAGAGATTATTATTTTTTTTTTTAGGATTTATCCTACTTAATCAGTCATTATAATGCACTGTTATCTTGGCCAACCTTGCTACCTGAAAAAAAAATAAAAAATGCAGGTCTTTAAAATGGGGCATAGAAAGCAATGAACAGCTGCATACCCAAAAATATGTTCTGTAGCAGAAGTGTTCTGACCATGCTGGTAGAGTGCATAAATCATTAGCAAGAGGCTGTTGGGCTATCGATCAGTCTATATATGACTGGATCACTTGAAGTTGTCCTTAGATAAAGGCAGAGAATGAATATTGAGAGATAAAGGATACAGCCAGTGCTTTCCATCTAATGCAACTTGGGAAAGTGATCTCAGACTTACAGTAAATATTTTAATGAAGCAAAGCAATGGGCTCTCGCTGTGCTAAGAAGAGCAGACATGATGAGTAAGAGAAAGCAAATGCAACAAATCAGCAAGATGTCGAAATAACCTTTGGGATGGAGAAAGAATGTGACAGAGAACAAGTTAATTTGAGTGAAGATATCTGGTGCATTTTCATTCTTGGCAGTGGGCAGCTCAAGCTAAAAGCATCCTTGACTCAACAGTAACTGATCAGCAACAAGCCTCTGTCTGGGGCATACCAGTAGCACAGCCTGGCCAGAGCACATGTCCCACCTGAGGCAGAGCACGAGGCTCACAGCTTCTGGGGATTCAAGCTAGCAAATCCAACACCACTGCATGGTGTGTGTCAGAAACTGCACAGCTGAATTCACACAGTGCTGTGCCCAAGCTCTGCTGTTTGGCTGCCTGAGGACTAAGCTGTACTTTGTCTTCCTACACTTCATCTGCTGCATTCTCACTGAAGCTGCATTCTAAGCCTATGAAGATCTCTGAAAACCCTCATCGCAAACATGCAAGGCTTTTAGGGACCTGAACAGGTCTCTTTTGTTTTTGCTACAGAAGTGACAGATGTGAGCATATCCGTTACAGTGAGCATCTCCACTACACAGTAGCCTGGCAGTGCCTGGGTAGCACTGCCCAGCCTGAAAGCCCTCATAGTTGTGTAGCAGTTTCAGTAGTTCTGAAAGCAGAACTTGTACATTAATTGTGTTCACTTTTTTTTTTTTCTTTCAGAAAACATTTCTTACCTATTTTCAAATATTCTCTAGAATCGCTAACACACCTATGCACTGGGGATGTCAGTGTCCACATCCCCTGTAGACCATTAAAAGAAAGATACCATTAAGTTCAAAGCAAGGCCCTACTTGCAGCACAAGGAGTTACTCTGCGTGTACCGAGGGCTTCTCATGCTGGTATGGATGGTTGGATCGTCTTAGTTATTTAATGAGATAAAGATGAGTTGGAACTGAAAGTATCTGGAGGGATTTCTGGTTTCCAGGAAGTGTCAGCTCTATTCACTCTTTAAAATTAAAAAAAGAAAAATTGTACTCATGATCCCTGTTAGGATCTGCCTTACTCAAGATGTGCCAGTATTTTTTTTTAATAGCACTCCACCTCTTTAGCTTGAATTAATTGAGTCTCCACAGTGGTGCTTCACACTCACTTTTCACTTTAGCTAGTCTACGCACTGTTTAAATGTTGGAAAGAAGACAGGTGTAGTGCCTGGGTCTGGGAGATATTCCAAAATGTAGGAGCTACGAGTGCATGCAGCCAGTGCAGCTGCTAAGCATCATCAGGAGACCTCTCTTCACTGGAAATACAGAGGCACATGATGGCTGCCCATGCACCTGGGTGTAATCCATCCAGATCGTAATCCATCCACACCTTATGGGTGTGGTGGGCACAAGCCACCTTCCCTGGGACTCGGGCATCTTATAGCTGCCACCTTCGTGGCAACGCTGTGGAGAAGATGGTGCCTACACTCTGTGACCATCCCCAACTGGTTTGTTGTTGTTAACAAAGGATGCACTGCACATTCCTCTTAATAAATGAACAGCATGTTACAGCCAAAAAGTACAGATCCTAGTGTCTCTGTTTCACATTAATTAAATACGATTAATTGTTAAATGCAAGTCCTCCATACAGTAAAGACTGAGCAATATGAAGGCATGCCTGTCATTTGTCTCTAACACTAGAACTGACTATATTTCTTGTTTGAGTTAAAGTGATTCTTGAGAACCAGACTCCCACTTTAGTAGAGTAGAAATAGCATATTCTTGATTCTTTTCTTGGTACGGAGCTATACATAAAATGTTCCTTAAGGTAAATGGTGGTTGAACTAGCAGGGATGGACTAATCACATTTCTATTTTTTACAGCTCTGTTGGTTTGCTAGCTATCTAGAAGTTACGTTGATCAGATTGTATGAGATGTGCAACAAGTGCTTAAAGAATTTATTTCTGTGATCAAATTTGTTGTTACTGGCTCGGGATAAAGTTGAAAACAATTATAGGAAACATTCACTAGTCTACCACTCAAAGAATACCAGAAAGTCCTTCAGAATAAGATTTCTTTCTTAATTTATACATATCATACCTTCTTTTCTCATATGCTTCTTTCAATGAAGAAAATGTCTATGAATTAATAATGCATTAATAGCTTGTTTTTAAATACACAAAATAGATTTTTAGTTATACTTCACTGATTTATGTCAAGACATTTACAGTTTAATAAACAAATAGAAAACAAACCAACCACAAGTTAAAAGTACACGTAATCAGAACTCCATGTAATCAAAGATAATGCTGCAGTGTTTTAAATATGCTTGTGCAGACCTGACATAGCTGAATGATGTTGTCACCAGTTGCATGTTCACCACATTGCTTTTTGTATTTTTATTTTGTTAGCCTGATAGTTTTTCCCTTGGGAAACTTTGTTTTATTATACTAATCAGTGGCTAGTTGCCTTAGTCAAATAGAGATATGTGGAGCGAAGTTCTCGTGTTCCTCTTTTTGCAGGGAGGGAAACAACCAAGCAGACAAGAGTATGAAGTATGTTTTCATTTTTTTCTGCTCCATTTTCTGCTACTTTAATTTTGTTTATATGTATGCATAAGGCAAGAGATAAGAGAATTACAGGCCCAGACCTCGCAGCTCTTGACTACGGCAGTTGTTTTAAAATACATTTCAAAATAGAGCAAAGAGTTGCAAGATAACTTGATCCTTCAAAAGAAATTTTATAATGAGGAAATAAATGAAGGACTGACTAGGGGAAAAAAAGTTATACTTTATTTCTATGATAATAGAAATGATTGTTATTAATATTATGTTAATTATGACATTTATTAATATTATGATCTTTCCGTGCATCGTTCCAAAAGCTCTATACCAGGGATGACAAAAAAATATGTGCCACATCATTTGAGGTATGTTCAGAGCTAGTAATCAATTCAACTAAAAAAGAAGTGCTCCTTGACTTTACTTTTAAAGAGTGCTGGGAAATGCACCATTCAGCCATGGACCACTTTCCTGAATTAAATTAATTTAAAATGTGTATCTTCAGATTATTTTTTTTCTGAATTCAAAAGGGGAAGTGATTTATGTAATATCCAGATGTTTTCATGTAATTAACCGAGGCAGTACTCACTAAAAGGTTCTTGCAAGGATTTCTTGTGGGCATGAAAACCTACCTGATTGTCCTTTGATGGAGGCAGCCTGGTTAACATACAGAAAGAGACATTTTCAGTGAAGCTCAGAAACAAGGAAGGCAGCAGATGTCCATACCTGAAATTTATTTTACCATTTATATTACATTTAAAATTGTAACAGATTAATTTGGTAATTAATTTTCTGTTTTTATTTTTAAGCATGTACTACTCTTAAAATAAGGTGCTGGCAGAACATAGGAAAAGCCTGCTTTACTCTTATTGCTTGCTTTTTACACATTGATATTTTAATTATTTATTTTTAAAAATTTTATTATCTCTTAAAAAGCTGCACTAAGGACCCCCTCTCAAACTTTTATCACTCATTTACTTATATTAGGTCTCACACTGCTCAAGATCGTACATGCTCTGCAATCTCGATTACCAGCACCTCAGCATATATCTCCAATGGCCCTACAGCAACACCTTCACAAAACCTCCTGTAGGTTGTGTTGGATCTATTTCTGTCTAGTCTATAGGTCCATGAAACAGCCATTTTGCCTTTAATTGTAGGTTCACTTTTCTACCGGTAAAAGCAAACAACTCCCAGGCTGCTGAGGCTTAAGTAGTTGGGTCTCTCAGGAGTAATCCACTCACTTGCTAAAAGGAATTCAGACTGAAAAGTACTTTTTTTCCTTGTTTGCTTAAGTGTCTTTGTTAACTGGAAGCTCCTGTGCTATATACAGCCTGTGAAGGTACTAAACTACATGCATGGTCTTGTATCAAAAACAAAATTAGGAAAATAAAAAATCTCTATTTTGTCTATTTATAGCCTCTTGAATGGTTTTGATTGATTATGCCTTGGCTGCATGACTACATTCATTCTCTTTTTACCAAGAACTGCATGGTAACTGGGGAATTTATTCCCTGTGTACCTATATGACTTACCACGTAATCATATAGGTACACAGGGGAAGGATTCATGTATTGTAGTATTTATATTCAAATTATTTTTTTCTTATTCAAAATATGGATGCATCTCAACATATTAGGCCCAGCTAAGCATTTTTTTTTGCCAGCTCTCTGTTTTCTATTAAGCTTGCCAGAATGAAGACAATTAAATAAATGAAAACAGTCAAACTAAAACACAATAAATGTTTCTTTTCCTGTGTGGAGGACTATCACACTGTCAGAAGCTCTGGTCAGCACAAAGCAAGAGGTGCTTGTCCTAGCCAGAAAGGTCCTCGGGGTTTGGACACGCATACAGGGATGTGAAGGCCAAAGGGGAGCTTATCTGATGAACTGTTCTTATTGTCCAAGAACTATTATTTATCTCACAAAATGGTGAGATAAATAAAATTGTCCATAAAAGGTAAAACTGAAGACTATCATTAACAGATAACAGAACAGAAGGAGAAGAAATAAAGCAGGCCATGTGCCATGAGCTCTCTTTTGGTACCAGAAGTGTTCCAAACTGTTGAACAAAGTGGCTAAGAAAAATTCATAGGATACCTTTATTTTTTTCTGAAGATATAACTGATCTCTGAGATTAATCTCTGGTCTCTGAGATCTCTGCTCATTTGAGGAGGAAACTATAGATTGGAGAGCCCAAAACTCTACTGCTAGGGAGCTCAGTGAAATATTTTTTTTACTGTGTTAGCAGAATAAATGATAGAACAACTATTCCCTTATCTGTCAAAAGTTCACAGGGGAAAAATAGACCTCATAAGCCAGAGCAAACAGACTGAAATTGTTAATTCCTTAATGTGTACATAGTTCACAAAATTAACACTAGTGTAGAGCTGTAAACAAACAGTAGATCTGGCACTGTTAGCTATTGTATCTTATTGTCTCACTCTTATTAGCAAAGAATTATATTTAATTAAATTCACATTCATTAGCAACTGGATGATGTCTGCAGGTCCTAAAATTGCAATGAAAGTTTATTTAGAGAGGAAGCTGTGTGAATGATCTAACAAACTGCACAGAAAAATAACCTTTTAGCCCCTCAAATGCTCTGGAAACATGCAGTTATGCTCCACACTGATTGCAGCATTACAGATTACAGCGTGATACAGATAACACCATCACAGACTTACAGCAGGGAGCAGAATGAAGCAATCCACTCTTTCTAGGCAAGCAAACAGCAAAAAGTGCTCAGTGAAACGGCCAGCAGCGGCTGCGATGGGTGCTCCCACAGCATGTGGCCGTATCCCTTGGAACCAGCCCCTGGAACTCACTGGCAGGAGCTGCCACGTGTTTCATTTCACAGAATCACAGAATCTCTAGGTTGGAAGAGACCTCAAGATCATCGAGTCCAACCTCTGACCTAACACTAACAGTCCCCACTAAACCATATCCCTAAGTTCTACATCTAAACGTCTTTTGAAGACTTCCAGGGATGGTGACTCAACCACCTCCCTGGGCAGCCTGTTCCAATGTCTAACAACCCTTTCAGTAAAGAAATTCTTCCTAACATCTAACCTAAAACTCCCCTGGCGCAACTTTAGCCCATTCCCCCTCGTCCTGTCACCAGGCACATGGGAGAACAGGCCAACCCCCATCTCGCTAGAGCCTCCTTTAATATACTTATACAGAGTGATAAGGTCACCCCTGAGCCTCCTTTTCTCTAGGCTGAACAAGCCCAGCTCCTTCAGCCGCTCCTCATAGGACTTGCTCTCCAGGCCCCTCACCAGCTTCGTCGCCCTTCTCTGGACCCGCTCAAGCACCTCGATGTCCTTCTTGTAGCGAGGGGCCCAGAACTGAACACAGTACTCGAGGTGCGGCCTCACCAGAGCCGAGTACAGGGGGACGATCACCTCCCTAGCCCTGCTGGTCACAGTGTTTCTGATACAAGCCAGGATGCCGTTGGCCTTCTTGGCCACCTGAGCACACTGCTGGCTCATATTCAGCCGACTGTCCACCATCACTCCCAGGTCCTTCTCTGCCTGGCAGCTCTCCAGCCATTCCTCTCCCAGCCTGTAGCTCTTCTTGGGGTTATTGCGCCCCAGGTGCAGGACCCGGCACTTGGCCTTGTTAAACTTCATACAGTTGACCTCAGCCCATCGGTTCAGCCTATCCAGATCCTCCTGCAGAGCCTTCCTACCCTCAAGCAGATCGACACACGCACCTAACTTGGTGTCATCTGCAAACTTACTGAGGGTGCACTCAATGCCCTCATCCAGATCATTGATGAAGATGTTAAAGAGGACCGGCCCCAGCACCGAGCCCTGGGGGACGCCACTAGTGACTGGCCTCCAACTGGACTTGGCTCCATTTACCACAACTCTCTGGGCCCGGCTATCCAGCCAGTTTCTAACCCAACGAAGCGTGCGCCAGTCCAAGCCAAGAGCAGCCAGTTTCTTGAGGAGAATGCTGTGGGAAACGGTGTCAAAAGCCTTGCTGAAGTCAAGGTAGACCACATCCACAGCCTTTCCCTCGTCCACCCAGCGCGTCACTTTGTCGTAGAAGGAGATCAGGTTCGTCAAGCAGGATCTGCCTTCCATAAACCCATGCTGACTGGGCCTGATCGCCTGCTTGCCCTTCAAGTGCCGCATGATGACTCCCAAGAGGATCTGCTCCATGAGCTTCCCTGGTACTGAGGTCAAACTGACCGGCCTGTAGTTCCCCGGGTCTGCCCTCCGGCCCTTCTTGTAGATGGGCGTCACGTTTGCTAGCCGCCAGTCAGCTGGGACCTCCCCCGATAGCCAGGACTGCTGATAAATGATGGATAGGGGCTTGGCCAGCTCCTCTACCAGTTCTCTCAGTACTCTTGGGTGGATCCCATCCGGCCCCATCGACTTGTGCACATCCAAGTGCCGTAGCAGGTCACCAACCAGTTCTTCGTGGATGGTGAGGGCCACATCCAGCTCCCCGTCCCCTTCCACCAGTTCTGGGTACTGGGTATCCAGAGAGCAACCGGTTTTACCACTAAAGACTGAGGCAAAGAAGGCATTGAGCACCTCCGCCTTTTCCTCATCTCTTGTAACTAAGTTTCCCCCCGCATCCAGTAAAGGATGGAGATTCTCCTTAGTCCTCCTTTTTGTGTTGATGTATTTATAAAAGCGTTTTTTGTTATCTTTAACGGCAGTAGCCAGCTTGAGCTCCAGATGAGCCTTGGCCTTCCTAATTTTGTCCCTGCACAGCCTCGCTACATCCTTATAGTCCTCCCTAGTGGCCTGCCCAATTTTCCAAAGATTATAAACCCTCTTTTTCCTCCTAAGCTCAAGCCACAATTCTCTGTTGAGCCAGGCTGGTCGTCTTCCCCGGTGGCTCATCTTTGGGCACATGGGGATAGACCGCTCCTGTGCCATTAGGATTTGCCTCTTGAATAGCACCCAGCCTTCCTGAACCCCTCTGCCCTTCAGAACCGCCTCCCATGGGACTCCACCAACCAGTGTCCTGAGCAGCCTAAAGTCAGCCCTCCGAAAGTCCAATACAGTGGTTTTACTGGTTCCCTTCCTGGCCCCGCCAAGAATAGAGAACTCCACCATTTCGTGGTCACTCTGCCCAAGACTGTTCCCGACAATCACATCCTCCACCAGTCCTTCTCTGTTTGTGAAGAGAAGGTCTAGCAGGGCACCACCCCTGGTAGGTTCACTAATCAGCTGCGTCAGGAAGCTATCTTCCACTTTCTCCAGAAACCTCCTAGACTGCTTCCTCTGGGCTGTGTTGTGCTTCCAGGATATGTCAGGGAAGTTGAAGTCCCCCACGAGTACAAGCGCCGACGATTTCGCAACTTCTGTCAGCTGCCTGTAGAACTCCTCATCCGTCTCCTCATCCTGGTTCGGCGGTCTATAGCAGACCCCGACCAGGACACTAGCCTTGTTGTCCCTGCCGATCCTAACCCAAAGGGACTCGATCTTGTCATTCCTAGCCTCGAGTTCTACAACATCGAAAGACTCTCTAATATAGAGAGCCACACCGCCACCCCTTCTGTGCTGCCTGTCCCTTCTGAAGAGCCTATAGCCAGGCATCGCAGCACTCCAGTCATGAGACTGGTCCCACCACGTTTCCGTGATGGCAACCAAGTCGTAGCCTGCCCGCTGCACGATGGCTTCCAGCTCCTCCTGTTTGTTACCCATGCTGCGTGCATTGGTGTAGATGCACTTCAGCTGGGCCTTTACCTTATCCTCCGGCCTTGCCACTGCTCCCCCTGGTACAGCCCCAACAGTCCTCGCTCCAGCCCCATCCCCCTTCTTACCTAGTTTAAAGCCCTATCAATGAGCCCCGCCAGCTCCTGGCCCAGGATCCTTTTTCCCCTAAAGGATAGGGACCCGTCTACGGCCACCAGACCAGGTGCTGAGTAAACTGCCCCATGGTCGAAAAACCCAAGATTTCTGCGTAGGCACCAGCCCCGGAGCCACGTGTTTAACAGGTGGGCTTTCGTTGTCCTCTCCGTACCCCTCCCTGTCAACGTAGGGACGGACGAAAAAACTACTTGCACTCCTGCTCCGTCCACTAACCGTCCCAGTCCCCTAAAGTCTCTTTTGATAGCCTTCAGGCTTCTGTTGTCAATGTCATCAGTGCCCGCCTGGATTATCAGGAGCGGATAATAATCAGAGGGGCGCACCAGGTTGGGGAGCTTCCTGGCCACGTCCCTGACCCTGGCCCCAGGGAGGCAGCAGACTTCCCTACGGGTAGGGTCAGGCCGACAAATAGGGCCCTCTGTCCCCCTAAGGACAGAGTCTCCCACGACAATCACCCTTCTTTCTTTCTTGGTGGAGGCAGTTCTGATGCGTGGAGTCGACCTCCTCGCCCTAGGCATCCTCCTGGGAACACATCTAGCACTGCTGAGAGCATGCTGTGCGGGGCAGTAGGCAGCGCATTACATGACAAAAAATCCTAAACAGATCAGCAACTAGCACAACTCACAGTATCCATCATGTCTAATTAGTGCAGATGAACAGAAAAGACTCCCACCCCAAGCACCTGTCTGCCATCTGCCCATAGCTCCTGTCCTTGTGTCCAGTGAACCAATTTAGGCATTGCTCCCAGCACAGAAATGTTTGCCAGGAGCTTTTACACCCACCTGCATGAGGCTTTGTTGACTGATTTAAACCAAGAAGCTCAGGATGACGAAACTGGCCTTCCAGGAGAATATCTCACCTTGGGTACACAGCAAGAGGCTCCCAGCTTCAGGACCAATTCAATCATATAACGAAGCAACAGGTTACTGGTCTGCTGTCATCTTCTTGGCCACTGGATCCCTGGTATAAAGCACAGCTGTTATGAAAGAATCAAGCATCATGCAGAATTTTGCTGTCCTATACAAGTCCCTGAGCAAAACATTGCCCACATGAATATTGGATTACCTTTCCAGTGAGCAGCCTTCTCTTGCAAGATGTAGAAGAGCTCAGATTAATCACTGCTTTACTAAAGAGGCTTCGAAATGGGATTCACAACAGTTTAATGCTGTTAAATGTTTCTGGCAGGAAATCAGTACCCAATGGCCATAACTGAAAAGTAGCATACAGAACAAACTCGGGGTCAGTGCTAGGATCAGCCCACCCCATGGGACCTCAAAGACAGGAGAGATGACACGAAGCTAAATTTGCCTTTTAAAGAATTGATTCAAGCAGAAAAACATGCATGTTTCATAGATGAAATTGTGCTATCTAACCACTAAACAGGGGATTTCCAAATACAGAGAACTTAAATGTGCCATCAGACTGGAGGGCACTGCTGCAATCCTGAAAATTCAGGTGCCCAATTAAGTGACAAGGTGAATAAACCCAAGTCATCTCCATGGGGATCAGGAGCAGACATCTACCGTTAGCTGGTCCATGCTCCATTTCTTATGCTGGTCAAAGCCAACATCTGCTTGGAGCTTCCAATGTGTACCTTGACAGAAATGAGGTTTCATTCATTTATTTATTTATTTATTTATTTATTTATTTATTTTAATCCACAAAGTGGTATCTCTCTGTCACATGCAACAGAGTTAGAAGTAGCATAAACGAAATTTCCTATAAATATGCCAGCTATTGTTCTTTTCCTGTATTATTATTCATTTGGGTTGGTACAAATTATCAAGGGAAGTAGATGACTTTATTACACATTATTTATTACATATTCAGCATTCAGCACTATGCTTACTGATGCAGTTAGCTAAGCCCATGTTCACCAATTCCAGGAAAGAAAACTCCCTCGGGTCAGCTTGTAATTCTGGCTATAAAAACATTGCCTTTCCAGATTCCCTTCTTTCCTAAAAGCTTTGGACTAGAGATAAGCCATGGAAGATTTCCTGAAAGCTGGGTCATTGCAGGCCACAGATGGGTCCACACAGAGATCCATCTTTCATGGCAAGTAGATATCTCTTTCTCTTTTAAAGTTGTTTGGATTTTGCTGCTCATCTATGACCAGTCAGTCACAGATTGGAACCCTCCCATTCAGAATGGTAGGAAAAGATGACCTGTGTTCTCACTGTTGTGCTTGAGCAGGTCCCACAAGTGCCCTCGGCAAACCCATTAGCATTTGCTGTGTCTCATTCTCCTTAATCTCTTCTCTGAGTGGAAAAGCATGTGTGGGGTGGCCCGTAAATGCATTTGTATGCATCACTGTTTTGCGATGTGATTTAATCACAAGTAATGCACAGGATTAATGAAACATTAATTTTCATGACCAAAAGCAAACAAATCCTGATATCCTACTCTACCACATGACAGGAGCAATGACTGGGTTATCCATTTTATATTTTTACAGTTTGTCATTCACATTTCTTTGTTTGCCCTTTTAACAAAACAACAAGCATGTCATGAACATGTGGATTTTTTCACCACCAGAAGATGCAGATTTTTTCATCACTGGTGAAATCCCAGATACATAAGTGAAGTTGGCTAAAGAAGATCCTGATTTAGAGGCTATAGCAAGGAGCCAAAACTCCTCTCAGCTCTAGGGCAGGATTTAAACAAAAGAAGGATCTAATTAGCTCATACTGCACCAAACAACTTAGAGTCTGTAAACAACAATAATTATGTCCCAGGTGGCAGGGTAAGTAAAAGAATAAAGCTGAATTATTCAGCTGAATTGTTGTAAAATGCAGTTAAAATAGCGCACTTTATATATATCAAATTTCATGCATATCCTTAAAATATCAATTAAGTAAAGGATAAAAATGAGCACAGATGGAAAGAAAAAAAAAAAAAAATGTGATTCTCTGTGCTTCAGGATTTTCTCTTAAAAGGGACCTGTACATAACCTCAGCTTCCAACCGAATTGTTTTCTACAAGGCTGTCTGCAGCAAGTTGTGGCCCTTAACATCACATTAGTGGTAGCTGCAATGTATGCAGGACTCTGGCAATGAAGAACAGTTTCTGCCTATCAGGAGATGTTACCTTTGGTGCCAGCAACCTCAGTTAGCATAAACTTGTCTTTCCCATCGCCAGGTCTGGCCTCCCACGCACAGAGGAGAAATATGGGGTTTATTGGTTGAAATGCTTGCCCATTTTCCATAGGAGCTGACCCTCTTCCACAAGGCTGGAATGTCGAGGGAGGAACTCCATCAAGAGAAACTTCTTGGATGTTTATGCATATCTACTCATAACAAGGCTCAGTTGCCAGAAAAGTGTTTTATATTTACTTCATTTGCCAGTTTTCTATAAAACCCCAAAAGAGCTGGAATTAAATGATCTGCACTCGGTACAAGCTGTTAATTTATTCAAGCACTGTTGGATATTGAAGCAGAAAATCATAGCTTCGTTTGATAATGAAGTCTTTCACAAAATAGACACCATATTTTTACTGAGCTGTGGTTGATAGAAATAATTACTATTTTGAATGTATTCTACCTCATTAAAATACTGCTTCCTTTTATCAACCTTTTTGCTTTTATCAGTCCTAGAGGTAGCCAGGAAAATCTTTTCCTCAAAGACCTCACGTAGTTTAATAAGTTAATTGAAATGTAATTAAAGCTACAGGCTGAGGGTGGTGAAACTGCTGTATTTGGCACAAGGATCTAATTCGCAGTTCCTTCTTGGTCACGTATTTCTGGCTTAGAAAAGAGAAATGGACGTTTTAAAATCCTTTACTCACATGAGTAGCATGCATGCAAGTGAATAGTCCTTTTGCTTATGCTGGTCTTCAATGGAAAATCCTCAGAACTCAGAGGATGTGTTTCCAAACTAACCCCTCAGCCAAAAATATTTGCCTCGATCCTCCAAAAGATGTTGATGTGATTTGTGCCAGTAATACAGATTTAGACTAAGCGGGAGACAAAACTATAAGTGGCAACAGTTCCCAACATGGAATACTATAAATGAAGGCAATAAATGCTAACATATTTTACAAATAGGAACATATATGTTTAAAAACATTTCTCTTCCATTAACAGAGAAAGGAAATAAACTAAGCTGAAGAACTAGTTTGGCTTATAAAATGAGAAAAACAAAACATAGGAAAGGAAATCAGCTTTCAAACAAAACATAATTAAAGAATAAGACACCAAGCCAGGCTGTCAGCAAAGCCCTGAAGAGCTGAAAAAGCTTTCTGAATTACAGACTGGTAGTGATAGACGTGTCTTTCAAAACACGTACACCAGGTCTATAAACTTGCAAATTTGTGTATGCTCTAGAGATGACCACATCAGCTAAGGTTAAATAAAAGCATTCAAAACATATGTCCCATGAGTACTTTCCAGAAAGAACTGTAGTTGAGGAGAAAATAGAAAAAATATATAACACAAACAGACTGACTGAGAAACAAAATGAAAGATGCTTATCACAAATTCTTGATTTTTTTTTTTCCCTGAAAAATCTATAGGACTATAAATTATAAACACACAATTTCTAATACTCTTATCTGGCTATTTTTGGTAAACAATAGACTAAACATCTACTGAAATGATTGAATATATTTGTGGTTAGCTTTCTTTGTGCACATTAGAAATTGTCTAGAGAATTTCTGGATCTGCAACTGTGTCCAGAAGAGTGCCAATATGCTGTTTAAACTTTCCACCAGCAAACAGCAGCATACAAGCAACCTGCAGTACAAATAATCACGTTACTCGAATAGTGTGAATTTGAAAATATTTTCTTTCCTTTGTTTTTGCCAAATGAGAGCTTCAAAGCTGCCTGATCCTCATTTGAACAATTAACAATTTAAAAAGACAGAACCAGGTAGCATTTAGCTTTGTGAGTTGAAAATGCATGCTTTGTTTATTGAACTGAAAAAAAATGAGATAGGTACTGACTTACCAACAACTATGGCACATTACTATTGTTTCACTCTTCAAGTCTCTTCTCTGAACCCAGGACAAAGGCAAACCTCTCCCCACCTGCTGGGACCCACAGACCACAGCAACAAGGCTCACTGCCCATTCACATCAGGATCAGAATCGAGTAGGTTGGGAAGTCCCCTGGAGGCTGTACAGTCCCGTCAGGTGCTCAAGGCATAGCTGACTTCAGGGCTAGGTCAGATTCCTCAGGACCTTGTCTAACGCAGCACCAAACACCTTGAAGGATGGACGGAGCAGGCTCCCTGGGCTACCTGGTACACTGCTGAACCACTTCATCTCTGTATTCTATCCAGCAACATTTCTCTAGCTGCTGTCACTAGAAGCGTGTCTCACCCTTTGGCTTTGCATGTCTGGGAAGAGTCTGGCTCTGCCCTCCCTGCAATGTGCGCCCCCCAGGGAGCTGAAAGCAGCAATTAGCTGCCCTCTGCTTTCTGCTGTCCATGCTGAACGTGCCCAATGCCCCGAGCCACTCCATACATGATTGGATCCAATGCAAACCATCTTGGTGGACCTCTGCTGGACTCCCCAGTGACTGTCAGGAAACCTCTTGGCCTGGGATATCTGAAACAGGACACACTGCTCCAGATGTGGCTCCACAAGTGCCACATAGACAGGAATAATCACTTCCATCAACCTGCTGGCTATCCCTGTACTCCAAATTTTACATGCTTATTTTAGGGTCTCTTGACTGTCTGGGAATCCAGCTTCTTCTCTGTCAGGCTTTCTTTCAGAAAGACACTTCCAGTGCTTTGAAAAAGAAGATGTTCTCTCTCTGCATCCTGCCTTTGGACTCCTGTGGATTTTCTTCTTCCTCCAGCCTCACCTTTAGCCTGTCCTTTCTGGAGCCACTCCTCAGCTACACTGGTTTTTAGCTTTCATCTATCTGACAGGGTCCCAGTTCCATCACATACTGCATATTGGTGCTGTGTCACCCAGAAAAGATAACTTATGCTTATTTTATGGCCACAAGACACATCTTTGTGCTAAAGAATGGAAGATCTTAGTTCAAAATCCAGACATATTTTAGGGGTTTCCTGTATAAAAAAAGAGTTTGTCAAAGTTACTGCACAAAATGTTGTGACATCACTAATATTGCCATGGAAAAGACTTCTGCAAGTTCTGTTTAATACTTTCAGACAGTCACTGAGTCATACTTATCCAGTCACTGAGTCATACTTATCCTGGTGGCAAACCAGAGAAGTCTCTTAGTGTGATATATCTGCTTTGCTGTCAGTAAGGAGGACCTCAGGAAAGATTAACATAAAATACATGCTATGCTTATAGATGGTGACGTTGCTTCAGAAAAGTCTTGCAACAGAAACAAATGAAATGTATTCATATACTTCAGCCTTCAACGGGCTTATTGTACACAAAGTTTATCTCAGCTGTGCAGTAGCTGCTGAGAAATGCAAACTTTTTATTACACATCCTTAGCATTGATACTGAGACCCCCACAAAGTTCTTCCCTTCTCCACCAGAAAAACAGATTTTATTAGTTAACACATGCTGCTTCTAAATGTAAAAGCAGAGCTACACAAGTTAATTATGGCTTTCTTGATACCATTAATGTAGCAGAAGCACTACCTATATATTTACCTCTGAGCTACAGACAGAAAGCCTAGCCCTGGTGAACCTTCATGTTGTCATGCATGCAGAAGAAATGTTAATCAAGGCTTTGTACATCTTTCCTTCACCAGCTTTCATGGTTATTCTGACATAAAGCTGGCATGGTAATGTGCTGCTGATGGTATCTTGAGCCACTGGTGTTCTGGGTTACTTGCAAACCAGGCATGCTTATTTATAACTGTGCTGTCGGGACAAACTTGTGCAGACAATTCAGCTGCCCTTCTCCATAAACTTTGATATATTAAAGCTATTTTTGGCTGTCAGCTATACCTGAAAGCCATGATCTAACTTGTAAACTGTGAATAATCTCTTCCATTCTACCTGCTTTGATACTGTGCCAAAACATAGATTACTCCCTCCCGCTCCCCCTTCTATTTTACTAGTCTTCATTCACAGACATAAATGTGTTATCATGTGGGTACATGCGAATTACACACTTGAAGTAGAAGCTGCATTTCATACTGAGGTATTTCAGAACTGCTTCCTTTGTTTAGCTTTTTTTTTTTTTTAATTATTATTTTATTTTTCTAAAAGCAGCCCTCAAGCAAGAGGGACCCAGGCAATTTTCTTTTTTGGTATTTAAGCCCCAAGAGGTGACATGACTCACGCCCACTGCTCTCCAGCAGATGATTTCCATCAGAGGTCGGCAGGAACCGTGTTTAGGAAGGGTCCCAAACAGATGCTCTGCACAGACTGTTTCTGCTGGCCTGTCACGTCTTTGCCTGGAAGGGTGCTCGGGGCTACACTAGTCTGAAATGAAAAAAGGGGCAGAGAGAAGTGAGTTGGGAGAATATATCAAAGCCCAAGAAAACTACTTCTTAAATTAAACAGTGTCAGATCTTGCACGTATCGTAGGTTGGCTTGGAAGAATCATCTGGCTGCTTGTTAGAATCAAAACTCCAGAGATATGAAGCCTGTCATGAAAAAAATGGAGAATAACGAAACATTTCTTCATTGCATTAGTCAGACTAAGAGTGCCTGTACTGCAAATTTTACTGTCTTTAATGCCAGGTTTGGTTTTGGCTCAGTTCGAAACAATCTCCACTGATTACATATTTGTGGGGTGATTATATACATATCAAAATGTTTTTTAAATGTTTTTTTATTTGACCTTTGCTATAAAATGAAAATAAAAAAGTCAGAACTGTACCTCAAGCTGCACGTTTTGGAACAAGAACAGTAGTAAGGCAGAAGTCACTGCAAGCTGAGGTTGCTCCTAGAAAAGTGCCATTTCTATTATTATTAAAAAAAATATACTTTTGGCATTGTTTGAACTTGCAACATTAACAAAAGAAGCATTTTGTAACAGTTTTAAGATGAGAGTAGGATGCTTCAGTAATAGAATAAAGAAATGTAATAATGAAAATACACATAATGTGAATTAGCATTTCTCCAATGTACTTAACGTTACACTATAGTCTGAGCTCGCTAAGTTTCAATAGCAATAACTCACTAAAAATATGCTACAGAATATAAACACCTATTGAAAATAATAGTCAATAAGAAATTAGCTTTTATACTTGCATCTGCTAATCTTCAAATTTTCCCCTACTTTAAATAGTTTGCAACTTGAAATGTGAATCCTTCTTTCTATTTTTTTCTTGATTTCCTTTACTAGATTATGTTTTTATGTAATAATTGATTGTTTCTACTTTAACTATCAGAGAGCAAAAACATATATATATAATTGTGATATCTAAATACAAGGCCATGAAGTCAAAAGAAAAAAGTGTCATTAGTGTTGAATGATCAGCTCCATTCTTGCAGACATTTGACAGCCTTATATTTCATTGATCATGAACAAGATGACCTATAAAATTTGTTATATGTAAGTTTGTTTGTTTGTTTCAGAAAGTTGAGAACTAATTTAAGCCTGATTTCAAAGCAGTTACTTGCTGCATTTGAGTTTGACTGCACTTCTCCCATCTGCCTCAAACAAATGAGAAACTTTCTCATGTCTAATGACCTTACATAAGGCCAGTGTGCAGTTAGCGGCTCTCTGCATGACACCACCATCATAATTCAGTTTATTTGACAAATCTGGTTTGGACAAACCCTGCTGACCTCGCCCTTTTTATGTAAAGCAACCACTTTCTTCTCAGAGCTAAAGGGGGGAGATAGGCCAGGACAGTCCAGACAACCTCTGTGCTATCGGGCATGCAATTAATTATGCTTCATCCTTTATCTCCTATGTGATACATTCATTAGGATGAAACACACATTGCTTAATGAGACGTTTGACTTTATTATGGTTTCCTAACTGTTCAGAGAAATTTATATTTGTAAGTTTAAAGCACAGCCAAACTGACAGTGATAGACAGCTTGGCTTTAGCCACTTTTTTTCCAAGATTTAGTCCAACAGCATCGTATTGAATCCAGCTGCAAATTTCAGATCTTACAGATGGTCACCACAATTCTCCGAGACTAGAAAGCCAAGATGTTGGTGCCAGCTTATGTAATGACCCTTAAGCAAAGTACTGACAACAAAATCCATGTGTCTTCTCTGCATTTTTTTTTTTTTAAATTAAGCATGGTTGCAAAGGGGACCTTGACCATGTGACGTTCACCAAGGGGTCAGCACTACCAGAGATGAACGTGAGGATATATGCTTTGGTCCTCTGAGTGGAAAGCAAAAAAGCCAGACTGTTAATGATAGCTTTCTCATGATAAATGGGAAAGAAGGCAGGCTGACAATTTTTGCTAGCTTTGTTTCTCTCCAGGGCATATTGACTTTCTCATGGCAAATAATGATATTTTTTTGAATGTGAAAAGATAAACACTGTTTTTACTTTGTGTGGGCTGTTCTGCAGCGAAAGAAAAAAATCAAGCTGCAGTCAGTAAAACGGGATTTTATTTATTTATTTATTATTATTTTTACTCCTTGTGCCTGTCCAGCTCCTGTGTCTGTGAAACACACTCACATTTCAAGGAAGACATAAGCTAGCCTATAATCATTCGTAACAACAAGCACAAGGGGATGTTGTTCCAAGGCTTCTAGTTTTCACACACTACAGTTTAGAACCCATCTTCTTGGCTTTAAAGAATCGCATGCAGCTAATAACAAGCTCTAAAAATTACATAAAGATAGCTTTGTCCCTCTCACTTGAATGCTTGCCTAAGCCTAGTAGCCCCTTCTTAGTCAGCAACTGACATCTTACCATGCAGTTGACTGCTGGTTTTGAAGTCATTAAGGGACAGCTGTGGACTGAAATAGAACAGTGGGAAATGCATAAACCTCTGTTACAAGAAGCAGATCCTGTTCTTACAGGCGTTGTAAGTGTTGCTGGGCATTTAAAAGGGATGAAAGGTAACACGCCTAAATTAAAGGGACAGAACTGCCTCCTGACAAAATACAACAACATAATTTTGTCAGATACTTCTCTGAGGCACCAGCACCTCCCTGAGAAGGAGGAGGAAACTGCATGACATTTTGAAGTTTGGATGACCCAGTAGACAGTTACATTAATGGCACAACCCTCTCCTTCAGCCCTGTGTAACACTTTATCTAGATTTTGGCTAAGCAAATTGCAAGAGTGTAGAGTTTATTTCAACATAAAAAATTATATTCCACTTTTTTCTCTCAGTTGCAGAGACTGCTTGCTACAAAGTTCTGAGAACTAAATCTCTAAAATGCTTTGTATTCATTAGGTATATGAGCTTGAATTATAGTTACTAAATAAATTTTGAATTATTTTTAAAAGTTATATTCTATTTAAATAAGTAGCTATCAAAATGAAAATAATAAAAATGACACTGTCTCTTTTTCTTTTTAATACTACTGTGTCTGATAATTAGAAAATACATAATTAAATATTCATATTTATACAAATTCATGTGTTGATAACAGGAAACAGGATGTAGCGGTGCTAAATTCTAGATACATAGCTAGACCCTGTTCAAAATTCAGTCGAATAAAACTGCACTAAGGCAATTTAAATCACCTTCAAATCTGGCCCGTGACTGTGTTGTTTTCCATTTGGACAGAGGGATTTGCAACGCATGAAGTGGCCATATCCTAAATAAATAAATAAATAAAATGAGAAAAAAAAATCTGGCCAGAGTTATTTAGGCAGAGAAATCACTAAGCTGTTTGATTTTGCACTCTGTCCATGAACAATTTTTCTTCCCAGAAAGAAAAGAAGAAAATTGGCCTAACCAGTATATCCCCTTCCTCCTTTGTCCTATTTTAAAGGGTTTGTAGAATTACAAAGTCACCATTGGAAAGACAAAGAATTCTGTGCCACTGCCATGGTTTAAAGCGAAAGCACTGGGGAAATAACCAGCCCCTTGAAGCGGAGAGATTTTGGAAGAGGAGAGGGACGGGAGGTAGGAACAAGACCATGTGGGAAAAGGGTAACCCAGGGAAGGGGAAAAGGAACTGAGAACACTAAACTACATGAAGCAAGGGGAGGAGGTTGGGAGAAGAAGCAACACACTTTGTGGATAACAAAAATTAGGTCTCAGAAAAAAAATATACAGTTTGAGGTACAGCACAGTTACTCTTCACCACTGTTTCCCCTTGGACGGAAACTCTGATAAAGCAGAAGAAACTTCTGGACCTCAGCTTCTTGTATTTTATTCTGCCTGATCTGTTTCTCTCACTGCAATCCCTAGGAATCCTACAGAATTTTTTAATAGTGCTAGCACAGTGACTCAATACTAAGCAAAATATCCATGTTATTCTGCCTCCTCATTTTTGGTAGGCATTTCATTATTTCAACACCCTTCCCTTACCAGCCTGCTACACTGAAGATTAAAAAAAAATTAGAGGTTACTCGATAGAGCCCCAAATTCTTCAGGTATTCACTAAGCTATTGCCAGCTGCCAGACATTCATTTAAAATATATCCTATCTAGCAATAGTGGACTTGATTAAGTGATATCTCACAAATTGATTCTTACTGAGAGCAATTAAGACAAATTGCTCTCACACTTTTTTTTTTTTTTTTTCCCCCACTAGCCTAAATTTATCTGTACTTATTCCAGGGAGCTGATTTTTCTGTTACTCACATGGTCTCCTTTGAGATTTTTTTATTTTTATTTTATATAATCTTTGGCACGAGCAAATGCCTTAATAATTTCCTTGATGTTTTCTGTTTATTTGAAGCCATTGTCAGCCATCGTCAGCCATCTATTATTTATCCAAGTCCTTAAATGACCTTTAGATGTCAATTAAAACATTTTTCTTAGAATTATTATTATTAATAGCAAAAATTCCACCAAGGATTGCTGCAGACTAATATTGTCTTCTAATGACCATATTATGCTAGCAAAGTCAATCCACTTCACTGGGTCTTATCCTTCACAGGAGGTCCAGTAATTGCTGCTCATTGTCTGTTGGAGCCTAGGCAGGTTTCTATTTTTTGTGTACAGTTCCTCACCCTTTGCACGAGTGCCTTTTTTCCATACATCTTGATGAAACAAGTGTTTCATCAGGCATCAGAGATCCTATGTGTTCATATTCATCTTGAAATTTTCACAATTGTTGCTAAGGTTATTTTCAGGTACTTCTGTTTTCAACTGCTTTATTTTGAGTTTGGTCTGTCTCATAAGTTACCTTGTTCTAGATATTATGTTAATAAAGCTGAGTTTCTCTCTCTCTCTCTTTTTTCTTTTTCTTTTTTTTTTTTTTTTTTCATGTTTTCTTTAAACATGAGTGCAGAAAAATCTTGCCTGACTTGGGATTTTGTCATCCTTCCTACCCTAATTGTGCTCTTGTGACCCTATCTGCCAATCCATTGAACATTGTTCTGGCACTTACAAAGCAGTGTGTGCTTTCTTACAGAGGCTGACCACTGTTCTAGTTTGCATGTGCTGTGACAAATGTGACAGCACAATATACTTTTTGTTATGCATTTGAATTTCTTACACTGAAATGGTTTTGATTCTCTGTCATCTCATGGATGTGAGAAGATAATCTGCTTTCTACACCTTCCATCTGAACATG